TTTGAGATTTTTCTTGTTTGTTGAGATAGGCCTATATTGCTGTAAACTTCCCTCTTACAACCGCTTTTGCTGTATCCCATAAATTCTGGCATGTCGTATTTTTATAGTTTTGTATTTTTGCAGATTTGAGAAGTGCAAAATGCTACCCTGTTTAAATTTGCATTTCTTTGAATCCAAGAGAGGTGAAACACTTTTCACCTCTGTCTTATTTGACACTTTTTAAATATATTGTGTGAATTGCCTATTCACGCCCATTGCCCACTTTTCTAGTCTGTATCTTTTCTCATTGATTTGTGAGGGCTCCTTTTATATTAGGGATTATTAAGCCCAATTTCTTCACATCCTTGCCAACACTTATTTACCTTTTTTGGATTATAGCCATCCTAATGTGCGTGAAGTGGGATCTCATTGTGGGATTGATTTGCATTTCCCTAATGACTAATGATGTTAAGCATCTTTTCATGTGCTTATTGGCCATTTGTATATCTCTTTGGAGAAGTGTCTATTCATGTCATGTGTCCATTTTAAAATTGAGTTATTTGCCTTTTTATTATAGTCTTATAGAAGTTATTTATATATTCTCAATACTAGTCCCTTATCAGATACACAATTTACAAATGTTTTCTCCTGTTCTATGGGTTGTCTTTCTACTTTCTGGGTGATGTCCTTTGAAGAACAAAAGTTTTTAATTGTGATGAAATCTAATTTATCCATTTTTTTTCTTTTATTGTTTGTGCTTTAAGTACTGAAGTTTTTACTCTTGATATGGTCTTTTCCATTCCGGGTTTCTGGCTTCAGGGTCATGGTTAGAAAGTTATGCCTTCCCCCAAGACAATATAAACGTTGTTTTCTTATAGTGCTTTTATGGCTTCTTCTGTTTTCTATTTATTGGGATCTTCCTTCCACAGATGGTATTGGATTGGATAAATTCATTTTATGCCAGTGTTTCATCAGCTGTCCCAATACCATCTTTTGCATGGCATGCATTTTGTAAAGGAACTGGGTTCAGCCTATGCTCAGAGGAAGTGAACAGAGCTTGGTAGCCAAACAAGGATTGAAGCGATGACACTGGCTTGGCTAACTCCAATGGCAAGCCTGTGTGGCTGACGTCAGTTTAGATTCATGCACCAGAAGGGACGGAAGGATCTAGAATGACTGAGTTTTTAGTTTTATTTTCCAGTTATTCTTTAGCCTCACAATATTTTCAGCTCACATACCCATCTGAGCAATGAGTTGCCCACAGAATGGGATCACTTTCTTTTTGAAGAGGAATAACATTTTTTTGTCATCCTCTTAGGATAATGCTTTTCTACATCACAGATGGTCAGATAGTCAGGAATTCCTAGAGACTTGAAGTATTGAGCTTTTGCGCCTTTTTGACAGCCTGGGGAAGGGCCAGACTTTCTCTCCGTGTGCCTGGGAGAGACAGTAGGCAGGGGGCTGTCCTGTTTGTATTTCACAGAACACCCTTGTAGCTCGAGGTGTTACAGATTGTGAGACTGATCAGGTTTTGACAAGGAGAGAGAGACTTGGGGACACTCAGCTTCATTCCACCTCGAGGTGAAGGAAATAGTAGGTTGAATTGCCCACAGATCTAGTTGATTCAATTCCAATTCAACTAGAAATCTAGTGACATGAACATCAGCAGAGGACACCTGTGAGGGGCTTGCCCCTACCCTTGACAATGGCCACTTCCAGCACAGGCGGACTCCAAGTCCTCACAAGTGACCTCGCTGCTGATGTGTTAATGCACAGGGTGACTCCTGTCCTCCTTTCTCCTAGGCTTTCTGCAACAGCAGTAATGGTGTTTTTTAAATGTCGGTGCTCCTTGTTTTATAATAACCATTCCTATCCAATCAGGGATCTTTATAAAATGCACTTATCTCAAGGATTCAGCCCCAGGTGGGAACATAACAAACCTCATTGCCCCCCACCCCCACGAATAGACTTTATTTTTTAGAGCAGTTTTAGGTTCACAGCAAAATTGAGCAGAATGTATAGAGTTCCCTTCCCATATGCCCCCTGCCCCCACGCTCCTGCGTCCTCCCCCATTACCAATACCCCAACCAGAGAGGGGGACATTTGTTACAATCCGTGAAACTGCATCCCCCCAGACTCTTGGATTGGTGAGGGAAGTGCCAGAGTTCATTGCCTGCAACATTCCAGGACAGTTGCTGCTAAGAACCCTGGGCTCTGGGAACACAGTCTCCCTTCATTAATGAGCATTATGCCCTGAGAAGAAGAGGGTGACGTGGAGGGAGTGCTCAAGGCTACTTACTCTCCTGAACTGGACCCCCCAGTTGCTTGTCAGGGAGCTGCAGTCTGGGGAAGTGTGTGTGTGTGTTTTCTATGAAACGTTACTGCGTGGGTGGATTCGTGTGAGCACCGCCACAGTCAGGATAAAGAACACTTCCACCACCATGAGGATCCTGCCTGTTTTCCTCTTATAATCGCAGCCGGCCCCTTCCTCTCCACCCTCCCAGACCCCTGTCAAATGCTAGTCTGTTCTTCATCTCTGTGATATTTCAGAGCCTTATGAATTTCAAAATACTGGATAAGGGCTTGTCAGCCTGTGTTTGTTTATGTTCCAAGAACAACTCAAATTATATGCCAAGCTAGATGTAGAAGGCCTTAAAAACTCTTGATTGTCACATAATCCTGTAGTATATCGTAAGGGTGCCGTGGATGTACCTAAGTTACGTGAACATCTGGATTTGAAGAAATGCATATAAAGCACTAGGCACAGGAGGAAAGGAAACTGAAATGTTAACTGTAAATCTCTCTGGGTGCTGGGATTATGAATTATTTTTATGCCAGTCTTTCATCATTTTTTTAAACCGTTTTACATGAGCATGTTTGTATAAGCAGATAAAGAAGAAATACTTCTTACAGGGGACACACATAGTGTTGTCAGTCAGAGTCAGGCTCACCCGGCAAGGCCTGACTCCGCCACCTGGCGGCAAGTCCCTCCCCTGCGAGCCTCCGCTCCCTGCGCTCTAACAGGGAGGCTTGGGGCGCCTGCCCTGCTGCGCTGCAGAGGGCTTCAGTGGAGTACTGTGCGTCAAGAGCCGGGAGCTAACAAATGCCCAGTGCGCACTCGCTATCATTTTGAAAATAGAAAGTTCCACCTGGCATCCTGGACTTTGCAGGTGACAGGCATAAGGAAGCAGGTCTTGCTACAGTTGGGTAGAAACCCACAGGAGATTTCCTGGCTGGGGCCTGTGGCAGAGGGGGGATCAGAAGGGTCAGCGAGGGGCTCTCCCTGACCGCAAGCTGGCTGGTCACGGGGTCACAGCAGACACTAAGTGCTTTTGTCCTTTCTCCAGGTGACGGCGCGTATGGCAGCAATGACGACTCTGAATCTGGTGGGTTTGAGTCCCGGGGTTTCTGTTGTAAAGCACAAGGAGAGATAGTGCTGGCCCACTCTCATCTCAGAGTTGGCCTTCCCGACCTTCCCCTGAATGTTTCCGGTAGAGAAGCATGAGGCCAACAGCAGAGGGATGTAGTCATTTACAGGAATTAAGCGTGAAAATCTGGGTCCCTGGGGAGGTGCCCCCATGTGAAGCTTGCTGGCGTGAGACCCTCAGTTAAAGAGGGACTGCACCATTTCCATGTCCTCCTTTCAAGCTTCTCAAAGTGGAAATTCTTAAGGAAGATGAGAAGCACTTGGCAAATCCAAGAGGGCACTGTGTCATTTTAATACCTTAGATCTATGTGGCACAGCCCTCTCATACTGGCCTGGGGGTCATGGGCATTTGAACAAGCTTGGCTTGGTGGCTAGAAGATGAACCAGGTGTCTGAGCCAATCCTTGTGGTGCTATTGGCTTGACTCCACCTCTCCTGATTTCTCCCGCCCTCTCTTTTGCTCAGGAATGTCTGCAGAGACTGGCACCATCGCCGGAGTGGCCAGTGCTCTGGCCATGGCCCTCATTGGCGCTGTCTCCAGCTACATCTCCTACCAGCAGAAGAAGTTCTGCTTCAGCATTCAGCGTAAGTGGATCTGCCCTGCAGCTGCTGTGGCTGTGTCCAAAGTGGTTTCATCCCCCCACTCCTGCACGGGAACAAACGTGCAAGGGCTTTTGAGGGAAAGGGGCAGAAACGTGAGTGAGTGGAGACTCAAGTCCCTTCCACAGCCTGCCTGAGGCCAACTCCGAGCCGACTTCCCGGGGTGAGGTGGGGATGGAGTTGCACTCTTGGAAATCCCTGGGGACAGATTCAGGCAGAACTGAAGCGTAAACTGGCCTGGAAGAGAGGATGGGGCTGGACTCAACAACCTTGAACTTCAAGGTCTCCAGGAGGTCCCAGAAGCTGCATGTCTGTGGGGGCAGAGCCCCGTGACAGTGGGACCCTGGGATTTCCGTATGGCCTCGGCTCTCACCCAAGGGGATTTGGGGCCTTTGGAGGCTCTGGGTCAACAGCTCCCTCCCAGGCTGCCGGATTCCCCAGGAGCCGAGGGCAGCAGGCTCCGGGATCTCTACGACCTGGCAGGCAGCACTGTTGGGCAAGCCAGCGCTCCTATTGTTCTGGCAACCCCCCTCAGATCGCAAGAAGTTGCTGCCTGGGTGCCTCTGCTCTAACCCCTATGAGCCAGAAAATCTTAAAATGTGTGGAATCATGAATTGTTTTCAAGGAGTAGGGATGTCAGAGAAAGAATCAAGTGTGGTTTGTGTCCTCCGCCTTACAGGCTGGATTTGTAAAAGATAGGTCACTTTCATGTTAGGCTGTATGTGGGAGTGTGTAAGTTGTAGGTAAATTGAATATTTACAGATGGAATCCTGGCTTGGGAGCCCACAGGTACCCCATGTCAGGGAGCCCTTTGAGGGTGCCATTGAGAGAGAACAAGAAGAGTACACTTGTTGGTTTTATAAGCACAGCGTTGATATGTTGCTGTTTGCTGAGAGAGTGGCTCTAGTTTAAGACTGGCGATTTTTAGTTCAAGTGACAGATCCTGACTCAGCCATAGTTTTCTTCTTTCCTGAAGCTTAGGAGCATCCCCTGTGAGCCTTCCCCTACCCTTGCTCTGGGCCTCTGCCCTTAATTCTAGCCTGGAGCTGAGCTTCCCAGAAAACTAACCTGGGTCCCAGAATGCTTTGAATGTGGGTATTGCTGAAGTCTCCAACTATTTCTTCATCTGGCCATCATATTTGCTTCTTTTACTCTTGTACAACATTCTTGACCAGGGTCACCACATACAGCTACACAGGCTGTGCACCGCGGTACTCCAGGGGCACTGTTCACATCTCAGTGTGTAACCTGCACAACTGTATATGGTTGCCCTGCTTAAGATTGTATCAACCTACCATGGATCCAGAAGCTTGGCTCTAGAGTGGTATGAACAGGGAAGAGTCAGAAGGAATGCAGAACTGGAGGCTGGATTGTCCTTAGAGCTATCCCTTGTCCCAGCTCAAAAGCAAAGAAACTGAGTGTCTTAAAACAACAGAAATCGATTCCCTCCCAGTTCTGGGACCCAGAGTCTAAGATCAAGATGTCAGCAGGATTGATTCCTTCTGGAGGCTGCAGGAGAGGGTCCTTCCTTGCCTCTTCCAGCTTCTGATGACCCCAGGTGTCCCTTGGCTTATGGCTCTGTCCTCACATGGCCTTTTCCTCTGTGTCTGTCTCTCCTCTTCTGTTTCCTATGGGGACACTTGTCATTGGACCCACCCTAATCCAGGATGATCTCATCTTGAGGTCCTTAACTTGATCACATCTGCAAAGAGCGTTTTCCCAAGTAAGGTCACTTCCAGAGGTTCCAGGGGTGAGGACGTGGACATATCTTTGGGGGCCCCCATTCACCCCCGTACAGCTCGTTGCCCTAATGGTGAGATGCGTACAGTCCACGGCTGTCCAATACATGGCTGCTGCATAGCTGAGCAGGACAGCCCCCGTGCCAAGGGATGGTTTTGAGATTGTAAAAGGCGTGGTCAGTAAAGAGAAAGTGTGTCAAAGCTGAGCCCCTAGCTACAGCAAGAACCAGGCCTGGCCTCGTGCGCTCACCACCCACCTGACACCACCTGTGCCTGTGGGTGTCACTGCCCCAGGGTCCCGCAGCCCTGCAGGGTAGGTGTGTTACTGAACCAAGTGGGCTCGCCTCCTGGTGAGTTAAATAAGACTCTACACCAGTGGAAGTTGTCTCACAAAGTCAAGTGTATTAGCAGCAAATAGGAGGCCATGAGGAGTCCCTGAACAAAAGGAAGCAGGAACTTTTATTTGGTTGGGGAATGAATATTCCAAAGAGAGAGGCGGGTATTTGCTTGCACAGGCTCAGTTGGAGAACATGCTTCCACATAATGAGGCCTAAGCTCTTCCTGGAGAGATCTTTGCATTAAAAATAAGGCATGGGTCATGGGTGTAGCTCTTGTGGTGAGGCTTGGTCACTTTCAGGATGGCTGCTGGTTACGTCTCCTTAGTACACAAAAGGAAAAGAAACAACTTGGAAAAACAGTTAATTGCTTCCAAACCCACCTTTGAGTTTCTCCAGGCGCCTAGTTGGTGACAGGCGCACCAGGCAGGGCACCCTTGGTGTGTAGACCAGGAAATGCAGGCTCAGAGCGTTGTTGAGGAACTTACGGCAGACGGGAAGCCATGAACCCGGAAGGGGTGCCAGTCAGTAGGAACGGGGTGGGGGGGGTTGATTTCCAAACCACAAAGTAGATGTCAGAGTTGTGTCTGTGTCTCTGTGGGGGTGCTCAGACGAAATGCAAATACGTTATTTTGCACGTGTTTCCTAAAACAAACAGGTGTGAGGTTTTGCAAATTGAATTAGCAGACAAAGCCAATACAGCAGGAGAACATGAAGGCCTTGGCATATCGAGTTGAACAATTTATATGTTATTTGGGAGAGAAGAAACCAAAAAGAGGGGTGTTGATGACAGCTGAAAGCGATGTGGCCACAAGGTTGGAGGAAATGGACATGATCTCTCTCTCGCTGGGAGGCAGCTTCAAGGCGAGGGTCTTGCTGGGCCGGGCAGTGGGAGTGAGCCTGCTGGCAGGGTGGCCCAAGCCAGGGAGGCGAGCGTGCTTATTGGGCCAATGATGGCTCCCAGGAAGTTCACAGCACCTGTGCCCCCACAGACCCCTGAGCGGGAGCCAGCGGGCTTCTCCCCAGCCCCGCTCAGTGTGAGGGTGGGCTCGCCCCCTGCCGCAGCCTTCACACCACACCTGCCAGCCCTCTGTCGGTGGCCCCTCCACCTGGGGCCTGGGCCCCATGGCCCCCTGCCTGTGGAATCTTGCTCTGTTCCTCAATCCCCTTCTCTCTTGTGACCTTCAGCCTCCCTGCCCCCCCAGTTCTTTCCACTCAGTGTGTCAATGATGTCATTGTCCTATTTTTTTTTTTTTGGTGAGGAAGATTGGCCCTGAGCTAACATCTGTGCCAATCTTCCTCTACTTTGTATATGGGTCACCACCGCAACGTGGCTGATGAGTGGTGTAGGTCCACGCCCAGGATCCGAACCGGCAAACCCCAGGCCACCAAAGCGGAGCATGCTGAACTTAACCACTGTGCCACCAGGCCAACCCTCATTGTCATTTTTAAAGCCACATGGTCCCGAGTCCTTTAGCTGGACACACTCGTGCAAGCACTATCAGCCCCAGTTTACACAAAAGGGAACTGAGTATGGAATGTCCCCCAAATTTGAAAAAGACCTCCATTGCTTCTGTATCCACCCCCCTGTGCTATTAACCTTCTCACTGGAATTCGTAAGTTGTCTCCACTCCTGTCCCCATGGCCTCCCCTCATGGATTCCACCAGTCCTCTTGGATCCTCCCATCCCCCCACCTCACATCAGTTGGTTTCCCGATCCTGGGGCAACACCTCTCCCTCACCACCGCCATGGCCCCTGCCTGTCCAGGGCAGGTCTCCTTGTCCTCCATCTGGATGGTTCTATCAGCCTCCAGCCTGCCCAGTCTCCCCCATACTTCTCCTTGCCCTGAGCAGCTAGAGGGACCTATTTAAAATGCACAGGGACGGCTCAGCCTGCACCTCCCATGCTACCCCTACCCTCCAGGTCACAGCCTAGCCCCTGAGCTGGGCATTCCAAGCCCTTCATGGTTTGGCTCCAAGCACATCCCTTCCCCTCCCTGCCCGTGGCCCCTGTCCCCAGAAGCCTTTCTCCACAGCCGTACTCACTTCTCTGAGTGCGCCCTGCTCTCTCCAGCATCCTCTCCGCTGTCCGCTCTCCCCTAGCTGCTCTCGTTCTTCAGGCCTGGGGCACTCTCCCAGCCTGTGGGCAGGACTACATGTCTCTGCCACGCAGCCTGGCGTGGGGCCCGTGGGGCGGGATTGGGCGTGTTGGTTTTATGTCTGTGACTGCTGCCCCCCCATCACCTTCTGGGCTGTCAGCTCCCTGGGGGACTGTGTGTGCTTCATACACTGGCGTGTCCCTGGCACCTAGGCCAGACTGGAATCAGGAAGAGCCCCATGGATGTTTGTGGGGACCTCCTATCCCTGCACTTTCTGCCAAGCCTCTGCCCAGAGTGTGTGGAAGTCGGGGGGCAGAGCAGAAACCGCTCTCCTGTCTCCACTGTGGTGCTCAGGGGCTTCTGGCCTCTGCTGCCACCAAAGGGGCCTAGGCTTTGGGGACCCTCTGCTTCCCAGTCTCTGCTCCCAGCGCGTCTCATGGAAAGCCTGGTGGTTTGTTGCTGGGGGCTGAGTTCTTGCTCCAGGGTCCTAAGCTTTGTGTCTTGCCTTCAGATGCAGCAGAAGGTCAAGGTAATGACGTGCTTTGACTTAACTCATCTTCCTCTTCTGCTTTGGCCTCGACACTTCATCGTCCATCCCTCCCCACCCTGCTTCCCTGGCTCCTTGTCACCACTCCGCCCCTCCCTTTCCCTGCCGCTCACCCACTTGGCTGCGACCACAACCATCTCCAGCTTTTCCTGATACGTGTGCGAGGATGCCACCTGCCAGACCCTCTGTCCCCAGGCCATGTGGGGCTAGGTTCAGGGCTGCATGCGATGGGGGCAGGCAAGGCCCTGTCTGGGAGTCAGATGCCCACTGGCGGTCGTCCCCGAGGGCTGACCAGAGAGCTGTCCACAGGCGGGAGACAGCCCAGCGCGTGTCAGGTTGGCAGTTGGGCTGTGACCAGGAGGCTCAGCTGGGAACAGCTTCTGCGGTCTCTGTCCTGCCCTACCCTGCACCGCATGGGGGCTGGCCACACCCACCAGTGAGCAGCACCCACGTTTTTCCTGGGCCCATGTGGTGTCCACCTTGATCCCAGTGAGCACCAGGGCAGGTGGGTGTACTTTTCTAGGCGAGGAGCCTCACTGCAGCCAGGGATGGCGGAGTGACTTACACTGGTGCCCGCTCAGTTGGTTGGTTGGTTAGAACCATGGCCCAATTTTCCCCCAGGCCCAGGGCTCTGATAAGGTTTCCAGTCCCTGGCTTATCCAGGGATGATAAGGGGTTGGGGTGGATAAGGGGTGGGGTTCATTCCAAGTCCTGAGTGATGGCCCTTGCGTCCAGCAGGTGCCACTCCGTGGCTTGAGTGCTGGCATGCAGAGGATGCTTTGTAGAGTCCCCAAGTCTCTCTTGGAAGCAGGTAGAGAGAAAGCGCAAATAACTAAGTAGACCAGAGCAGCTCTCGGTGGGCCTTGAGCCCTCCACGCTTGGGCGGGGACAGCACTTGGCCCCGCTGCCTGGAGGAACCAGTTGGCCATTCCCCCAGGTATCGCTAGAAAAGCCATGTGCTGGCGGAGGCTTTGGTGGCATCTCCGCGGTGAGCCCCATTCAGCTGTCTGCACCTCCCTGCCCTGCATCCATCAGTCACTCACACGGCGCTTGGCTCGCTCTCTGCCTCCCCAGCCCCTGGGCCAGCCCATCAGGCCCGTAGTGCTGAGCCCCGAGCCCTGCCATCAGGTGTCCCCTCTGCTGGGTGGAGCTGCTCTCTGGCCCACAGTCTCACGCATGGTGGCACCTGTCCTATGGGGATGGGGCGTCAGGGACCTTTGTCACAGGGGCATCATTTCTGAGGACGATGCTGAGAATCCCTGGGCGGGGGGGAACATTTGCAGCCAGCGTCTTCCCCTGAATAAGGACGTTCCAGCGGCCTGGAGGGCAGAGTCAGAGTTTGTTCAGGGACTTGTGCCTTTTCACTGTAATGGAGGACTTGCTCAGTTCTCCATCATGGCCGGGTCCCTCTGGTTCTGGGTCAGTCACTAACTCTGCCCTTTGCCCTTTGCAGAGGGTCTCAATGCAGACTACGTGAAGGGGGAGAACCTGGAAGCCGTTGTGTGCGAGGAACCCCAAGGTGAGGACTTCTTGGTCACTGTCCCTTGCTGAAGGTCTCCTGGTCGGTGGTCCCAGCACTGAGCAGAACTGTGCTAGGGAAGCACAGAGGTATCTGTTTCTAGAATTTCCAGCTGGAGCAAGGCGCTGCAGGGGCCCAGGGGTCCCAGCACTCTGCCCCCGATCAGCCAGACTCCAGCTTCCTGACGCCAGCGATGCTGGGCCAGCACCGGGGCCATCTGGGGCTGTGTCAAGGACTTCTGTGCCCTGTCGGGGCTCAGCCTCTGCTCTTGATCCATCTGAGCCTGAGCCCCAGGCCCTTTTGCTCCCGGTCAGGGAAACTAGACACGGCTCGGACGAATGCTGACAGAGCTGCAGGGAAACCTTTTGATTTGAAAGTTGCCAAAGGCAGGAGGGAATTTGGTTAAAACACAGACCTCAATATTGGGGTCCATGCCCCTCCCTGCCTCCCCCTTCCGTAGTCATCAAGCACTTTCTGGGTTTAGGAGTCGTTGGCAATTGGAGGCTGTGTAAGGTCAGGCTGCCGGCCTGCAGTGGCCAACCTCTTGAGGCAGATCTGCCCTGTGGCCCCAGAATGCCAGTGAGGCGCTTGAGCAGGGCTTTGTGAGGAGGAGGAGCAGGCTGGTTTTCACCAGCCGAGATCTAGAGGGGCTTTCAGGCTGCAGTGGGTGCGGACAGGGAGAGTGGGGGGACCAGGTACATGTTGTGACTGGAGCCAAATGCAGCAGCGGCAGGGCCGGGGCCCCGCAGGTGTGTAATCGGGGGTGAGGTGCTCCATGCCGTTGCTTAGGATGAGTATCCGGCAGCGCTGCCCTGAGTGGGTTCGAGAGCCCTGCAGTAAATTGTGGGTGAATCGAGTCTGCAGTAGCCATCACCATGATAACGGTCAAGCCTCTTAGCCACCATGGTGGGAGCATCTAGTGCAGGCCAGGTAGTGTGGTGAGCGCTTTATTTAAAAAAGGCCTCCCAGCAGCCCCGTCTGGAGCATTCCTGTTTTACGGATGAGGAAATGGAGGCTGAGCTGTTGATAGGGTCTGTCCAGCTTCCTCCTCCTCTCCAGGACCCAGGCTTGCCCTCAGTGGGGACAAAGTGGGTGCCAGAGGGGAGGTTGTCCAGGATGGGCTGAGCGGCCCCAGCCATTGGACAGAACACACAGGGAGCGATATTTCTGTTCCCAGCAGGGGCTTGATGGTGGCTCTGCGCCTTCTGCGCAGGGGGAAATGCATCCCTTCTAACGGGCGTCTTCTCTCCCTAGTGAAATATTTCGCGCTGCAAACGCAGTCTGCCGAGCCGCCGCCACCCCAGCCGCCCCGGATCTGAGGGCTCTGCCCAGCTTGTGACCCAGCTCCTGATTTCATTTGGACCCACAGCTGCTGCACTGCTCGTTCCATGTCGCTGGCTTCTCCTTCTGTTTTCCGGATGAGCTCTGGGCACGTGCAAGTCTGGTTTCTGTGCCCACCCTGCTGCAGGTGCTCTGAAGACACACGGTGTTGAACTCGGAGGCCTGGCTCCGGCAGAAAGCCCAGCCGCTGGGTCACCGACTCCCCAAAGCCAGCCTGCCCCCAGGCCATAGTGAGCTGGGGAGGCCAAGAGGACAGTTGTGGTCAGGGGATAGGAGTTTGAATCCAGGGCCGTGGAATCTGCTCCATGCTGCGCTGACAGGCTATGGCGGGTTTCTTCCAGTAGGCAGCCCCTGGCAGTGACCTCGAAGAGCTATAACTGGGGGCCCAGCCAGCACCTAGCTCTCTTGGAGCCCCTGCAGGGAGCAAACCAGTGAGCAGCAGGTAACCCCACACATACACACCCCAGGGGGTGTTTTTATTTTGGTCCTTCTTTCCAGTTCCAGCGTTTACACTGCTGGACTTGCAGAGAGCTGGTGCAAGTGGAGGCTTTAATTTGTTTAAGTACAGACGTGCATGCCATGATAGTCCTGCCCTGAGAGTTTAGGAATCTTCTGGGCAAGTAGGAAGCTGTGGCTCTCAGGCCTCATTCCCACCTGATTCCATAGGGGACTGGGTGCAGTCTCCAGGCTGACATGGTTAGTTTTTGGGAATCAGTTATGCATTGGAAATGAATTTTATCCTGAGTTGGGGAGGTGCTCACCCCCCACCCTGTTTGTGTTCTTATTCTGGTAGCAAAAGCTACAGACATCAGGAATGAACATCAAAGCCTGAAGCATGCCGCTCGTTTGCCTAAAAATGTATTTGAGGAGGAGGGAGTGAAGGGAAAGGGGGGTTTGCTTGGTTTCGTGAGATACACCTGACTCGATCAGTGCATAGTGATCCCACCTGGCCTGGCCTGTCCTGATGAAGGGTACTCGGGGGCCGTGCTCACCTTGGTAAATGCCAGAACCCAGGGACTGGCCCTTCGCCTGGCCTGACACTGTCTGGTTTGGGCTGGAGCAGAGCTGGCTTCCTGGAATGTTCCGTTTGGCCTACACGTGGTCCTGTCCCTGAAAGCTCTGCTGTCAAAGGCTGAGCTGGAGTCTAGTGCCACTGTCCACTGATAGTCAGTTTGCAGTGTCAAAAAGCACTTCTGGAAGCGTAATAGAAGTCAGCCGGAAGGTACGGTCCTATTTACACAACTTCACGTGCCTCTTTGCACTGCACGGACAGCCCCACACATTCCACAGGCTGTGTGTTAGCTCCTTCACGTCCACTGAGCTGGGATGAGGCAACCCTGACTTATTGGGAAACAACTGAAATCTGAACAGACCTTGCAGGTCACATCATGCCTGCCTCATGTGTGCGTTTTAGTGGTTGTTTTAAAAACACACTCATTGTGGGATGGTAATCTGTTGTAGAGTGTCTCTCAAGGCTGCCCTTCAGATCCATCCCTGGTACATGCCCGTGGACCCTGAAACGCCCCTTCCCCTGCTTGGCAGTTTGTCCTGGACAGGCTAGGATTGTGTGTCTGCAAGGGGCGTGCAGAACACTGAGGAAGGAAAGGAATGAGCGAGGGAGGCACTGCTTGCAAGGTTTGCCTGCTCCCAGCGCCCCCCCTCCACCTCATTGGCCAGATTGTTGTCAACTTTGCCAGGCTTGTCCCTCCAGAGGACGGCAAAGGCTGCGAACCCCCCCACCGGCTGGTGCTGGGCTGGAGGTGGCTATGGAAGCTTTTTGCATCCATGGCTTGTTGCCACCTAGATGGGTGCCCTCAGGGCTGGGGGAGGGCCAGTGTCCTAAGTAACAGGAGTTGGGCAGGGGTCAGGGCAGTGCTCAGCAGCTCATCACCTCAGGACAGGGCCTCACCAAGGTGCCCAAGGCATTGTAAAGAAAGAAAAATGAGGCAGCACTTGTGTGTGATAAAATATTTCTCTCCCTGCCACCAGGAAGTGTGAACATTTACAAAGAAGTCACAGTCATGGTGGCTACTGGGATGAGAGAGGGATGTGGCCCATGTGTCCCTTGGCATGTCACTGGCCCTAGAGCTGTCGGGCTTCTCCACTGGGAGGCCAGGCGCCCGCCCCTTAGCTCTACAGTGAGGCTTGTCTGATGGTGAAGACCCTGAAGTCCCGTGGCTGCGATGGAAAGTCAGCCCTGGCTGGGACTCTGTTGTCTCAGCAGCACTGACCACAGTGAAGGGAAACCCATCTTGCTCTTCCTCAGTGCTCTCGGTGCCTTCTGTAGGAAGCCTAGCGCCCAGACCTGCTCCTGGAGACTGGCCATGCCTGGAAGGGCACTCAGCCACCCATGGCACAGTTCTCGTACCCCTTCTGCACTGACGCCTGCAGAAGCCTAGGGGGCTCTCTGGTAACTCTCTCTCTCTGAAAGGTGCATTGGCCAGCTGAGGCCTGTCGGGTGACATAACGTGAGTGAATGAGAAAGGCCAATTGAAAGTCTCCCGTATGTGCCAGCTTCACCGGGAGCGGCAGCGGCAGCGGCAGCGGCAGCAGCTCTGTGTTGACAGTAACAACTCTGAGCATGTGCGGGGTGGAGGCACCACAGCTTGGTGGGGTGGGCGCCCTCCCAGTGGGGGACCCACAGAGCAGTGCCAGGTCCACTGCCTCGGACAGTTGGGTTGGGGGTCGGTACCAGCTCTCTGAGGAAGAAGAAATGGAGACTGATCTCAGAATCCCCTGTACTTTTTGTGTGCTTCTGTGTAAGTGTGAATTGTGAACTGTCTCGTGTTTGCATTAAACAAAGAGGAACCTTTGTCATTGCATTCTGATAGCGTTAAGGCACTTCCTTTGTCAAGTGATGTTTTTTTTTTTCTTAACTTACGATAGATAGGGAACTGACCTCATTCCCCTCCTCCCCAGTCCAGTCTTTCTCGAGGTTCGAGTTCTTGCATTTACACTCTCCATGAAGGCTTAGTGTCGGGGCTTCCAGGGCATGGTCTCCTCCTGGAGGGGAGGCCTGGAGATGCAGAGTGATGTGCCCGGTGTGACAGGACCAGCGAGGGGCAGAGGCAGGCTCCAAACTCGCCACTCCCACACCTGCTGTTCTGCCTTCTTCAAAGCCAGGGTCCAGGGTAGACTCATTACCTGTGATTGCTTCAGGCCAGAGAAAGCCGAGGAGGGATGGGGGCCCGTGCCCCCTGTTACTCATTGCACCCAGGTACAAAGTGGCTATTGGGGATAAAAATGTGCCCTTGTCATAACCTCACAGTGTGACTTGCAAACTGAGAAGACAGCTGGACATTTCAGCCTGAGCAGGATGCCGTGGCCACTGGGAGAGTTTTCACATGGAGGTGGGTGTTTTTGGGCCATACCAGCCTTGTAGCAAAATGGCATCAAGTCCTCAAACCCAAACCCACCACGGGACTCTTCTGGGCAGAAGTTCTGCAGGGTCAGCTGGGGTCTGGCGCAGTGGCCCTCTCAGCCTTGCTGCTTGGTGTCACTGCTGGGGACTACAGCAACAGTGACTGCTGCATGGAGAGTGACCTGCAGGGGGCGTTGTGGCTTCCTCTAGGACTTTACAGCCCCCAGAAAGGCCAGTGCTCCTCCTTTGACTTGGAGTGGGGGCCCCGGGGCCTCTCAGAAGTCCACTCCATTTTCCATTCTAGGGCTCAGGGCCTCGAAAGACAGCCCTGCCTTCCTGGAGCTGCACCCGACTCTCAAGTGTCCCCAGTCCTCTTTACCTGTGTCCTCAACATTTTCCTCAAGGTTAAGGTCAAAGGGCATTGCAGATTTTAAAATCAGACTACTTACCCATTTCAGCCAAAACATTCAAGACATGATAAGTTGCATTTATGATTTAGTAAATGAATGAAATCATAGAAAGGCACTTTATATATAGTAACTGTGCCTGGCATATAACATGTACAGAATGTTTACTATTACTAATTTTCCCCAAGGGAAAAATATACTGAAATACTTAAAAGGCAACAAAAAATGAGACCACAGAGCAAACATATTATCATTTTAATTACAGATTGAAATACAGTGCATCAGATGTGGCAAATACGATACTGTACCAGTTTTTAAAAATCTGAACCATAAAAGTTTTACATTCTAGTATACTTAAATAAAACCGAAAAAAAGAATTGCTTACGTAACAAAACTATACTTCAAGTTGTTTTAGAAACAGTTTTGTGCTAGGAACATTCATACAGAGAAAAATGGTCTGTTGTGCTGCTCTCAAGTTGCATGGGAGTTGCTAGGGATCCTCGCAGGGCTCAGCAGGAAGGGGAGGGGCGGGCAGCAGCCAGGCACCAGCTCAGCACCACCCCTGACCCACGCGCCCACCCCTGGTGCCAGGCTAGTTGACCTCGGCAAGAATAAGCCCACTTTGCTTCTCTGATTCTGTTAGAAGCATCATCCAGTCCACACCAAGTTTAATAGGCTTAGTGCAGCTGGGGAATTAAATGATATTTCTGGAAAAAAATGGGAGATGTCCCCATGTAAAAAATATTAGTATATAATTGAATAATCCAGTTTATCCATTCACAAATAAGCTTTCAGGTATGGTGGGAGCATAAATCAAAAGTTAACATCAAACTACGATTTAGAAACACCCCCCCAGATGATAAAAATGGAGACTTGATTTTATGTTATCAAATTATCTTGAATAAATATTTGACACCTTATGGATACCAGATTTTCTGTAAGAATCAGAAAGTTCCAAGCTTAAGAATCATCTATTCTCTAAGTATTTGACTGTAAAAAAACCTTTAAGAATACATTTTCAAAAATAAGGTCAGGATGCAGGACTTTGCGTGGCATCCAGTGATTTGACAGTGCATGTGCACTGCACTCGGGTCTGGCCCCAGGAGCTGCGGAGGCCCCACTGACGCTGCAGGCAAGCCTCACTCCTGCGGCCATGGGTCCCAGTGACTGGCGGGCATGGCATGGCAGGGGGAGGGTGTGCAGGAGCTGTGAACATTAGCGGCCGGACCTGGGGCTCGTACAGTAATTCTGGCCCCGACTGATGGAGGCCCGGAGTCAGTGAGTGAAGTTGCAAAACCAGGAGGAGAGGCCTCACTGGCTGAGGTTGGCTCTGAGATGAGAAACCCAAGGGACGTGCGGGCTCTGCTTTTGGCAACTGAAGCCACAGCACAGTGGCTGCTCTAAAATATCAACATGCAGTCACAGGAATAAACTGGGCTGAAGGGATTGCGATAAAACAAGAAATAGTCTTCAGACAGGCAGAGAACAGGTGAGAGCAGACTCGCTCTGATGCAAACAGCCGGCAGCAGTCAAGAGGGGGAGGCCGTAAGGTCGGACGGCACAGGAGCGATGGACAGGCGTGGGGAGGCCAGCGCCTGTGCAGAGCTGCCCGAGTCCTGTTTCCCCTCCGCAGGGCTGGAGGACTGAGCGTGCCTTGGCCATGCCATCCCAAGGGAACCCTGCTATTGCCATCAATGGCCCGGGCCATCTCAAAGGGCAAGAACCAGAGCTAGGTGAGGACAAGGCCCATATCAAGTCGAGGTTTAAATGTACACACAACAGCATGAGCTGGGTTTGACAGGAAGTTCTCGTGCCTTCCAGTTAAGCAGATCCCTCCTGGGGTGATGAGTCTAAACATACAAAAGGACATAGGAAAATAAAGGCATGTTTCTCCTTGTAAAAATACCTCATATGTACACGACAGTAATGGGTACACGGGGACACTGCATGAAGAGACCTGTAGGATCGAGGGCACTGTTCTGTCCTCTCCCTCCAGACGGTGAATTTTACAACAGTGTAAGTTGCAGCAAAGAGCTGCAAGAAGCCACGTGGCTGGCAACGTGTTCCTAAGTGAATGGTGTTTGTAATGAAGGGTTGACCTTGGAAGGAAGTGCTCGAGGCCTCCTTCAACCCAAGCACTGCGTCCCAGTCCCTCTAGTTTTTCCAGAGCTGCCTGCAGGACAAGAAGTCAGCTCATGGGGTCGCCAGGACAGACGGCTACCCTGAGAAGACCCTGACAGGAGGAAACAGGGCTCACAAAACAAAACGCGCTTGACGACCGTGGGAGCTGTCCCCTAGCCACACAAACGGGCACTGGTTGGAAGTGCCATCCAGACGCGAGGGCACTGGGCCTACTCCTAAAAGGCAAGACACAAGCTACAGCCAGGACGGGCGGCAGGTCCCTTGCTGAGCTGCTGGGGAGAGCAGTGGAGCAGCAGGCTGTCTGTTCTTGACGGCTGGACTTGCCGGGACGGCCGCCTCTGGGCCCGTCAGACCGAGGTGTGGACAGGAGTGACTGAGTGGGACGGCGATGAGCCCCGCTCGGACGAGGACGAGGCGCGCGTGGCCACCTCCCGCTGCAGGTCCTCCACCCTCTTCTGCAGCTCCGCCCGGACGGCCAGCAGCTCCTTGAGATTCTGGTGGATTGGCATCTGCGGCGAGCAGAGAGACAGCAGTCAGCAGCCGGCCCAGAGCTCCACGCGTTTCTGACACCATGCACTTCACCATGTGGCCCCAACCAGGACGCCTCGTGCGTCCAGAGTCTCCTAGGCCATTGACTGGTCTGTCCCCAAGTGTGCAGGGATGCCCCCCTCCACAGCCCAGGGGCTTCAGCTGACACTGCGGGGAGGCCTCCGTCACCCTCTGGCTCTCTTTCCCTGCTTGGCCAGGGTGCCAGAGAAGACAAGCAGGTTCAGGTGAAACTGCACCCCATGCAGCACCCCAGCACGCCCGTGCGGACTCAGAGGGAGTGGGCTTCTGAAGACTGCCAGACATGCTAGCGGGTGGCCGAGCCCATGCCCCACCCCCCACTACCTTGGCAGTTCTGCAATTTTTATAAATAGCTCTGCTGACTGAATATTTCTGTGAAATCAGCACTTTCTACAACCTGAAGTTGTGTTCATTTTCATCTGTTGGAACAGGAGCGGACAGAAGCTCCTGGAGAGGGGAGTGCCCAAGGAGGGGTTCCCCTGGGGGGACTGGCACCTCCCCACTCCCTCCGCAGGGAAGGAGATGGGCCTTGGTCTCCAAGCCTCCACGCAGCAGCACGGGCACCAGCACCACAGCAATGCCTCACTCCATGACCTTTTCTCTTGTAAACCCATCGCTGGGTGGTGGGCCATAAAGAAATGAGAAGGGGTTTCCTGGGGCATGGGGGATGCCCAGTCTGACTATTTGGTCACAGCACCCCACCCCCTTGCTCAGCTAACAAGCCTTCCTCGGCACCTGCTGGGGGCCCAGAGAGCCAACACCTGGCTTTCCCTCATGGCACTCCCACGCTCAGGGTGAGGCGGACCAGGGAGGGAAGTGACCAGCTGGTGAGGGAAGGAGGCACAGGTTGGGGTCTGGGGAGCTCCTTCTGTCTGTCTTCGCTCCCAATCCAGTCAGGACATCAGGACACAGCAGCCACAGGCCTGGGTCTAAGCCTCAGCCATGCCATGTGATGCCCATTTAACACCCTCCTGTGGCTTCTTCTTGCTGCTCTGAGGGTAACATCCTGATCTTCGCCTCAAGGCCCTGTGTGGTCTCACCCTAGCCTGCCTCTCCTGCTCACCTCTCACCAGGTACTGCGTCCACTCCCCTCCTGCATTCCAGAATCTTTCAGGTTTTGGAAGATGCCACACCTGTACTGTCCTTCTGCCTGGAGTATTCTTCCCCCACCCTTTTCACCCACATACTCGGCTTCATCCCACAGGGACCAGCGCAAAGGGCTCTTGCTCTGGGTGGGGGTCCTTCTGGACTCCATTTGCTTTGTCATCTACCTCCCCCGAAGACTGTGAACTGTCCCATCAGGGGTGCCAATGGGGATCAGCCCAACAGGAGGGAAGGGAGCTGGGACAGAGACCAGAGAGAGAGACAGAGACAGGAATGATTGCTTGTGAGAGAGGAGAGGGGGAGGATGAGAGAGGCAGAGGGCAGCCAGGTGCCTCCACCGTGGTAGGGTGCTCAGTAACTAGCACCAGAGAGGCAAGGAGCAAACTCCTGACTGGGGCAGGCCACAGGAAGAAGGGAGGGGACAGCAACATGTGAGTCTGACGGCAAAGGCCCCAAAAAACAAGGGAGTTACCTTATTTGCTGCTGATCCTAGAGGCCACTGTGAGGTGGGAAACAGCTCCCCTCTTAGCCTTAGGACCTATTTGGTATTTTCCGGTTTGCAGGATCATTTGATTCCAATCAGACAACAAAACACTTTGCAGTCAAGCTGCCATTACTGACCCCCACGCACGCAGCCTCGGAGAGGGGCCGCCCATGCTGGGAAATACACAATTTCACACACGCCCAGGGGTGAGACTCTCATCTTACATCTCCATGCAGCCTTTCGTATCTTTTCCCATATGTCATCTTCATTTACAATAAATTAAAGGCATGCTTGTTCGAGAAAATGCTCATCTAAGGGCGAGTCACCCAGTGAGTGTTAGCATGTGGGTCTCAGAGGAAACAAGAGGGCTGCCAGGCCCTCTGCCCAGCCATCCTCTGATGGACACCCAGGGAGCCCCTCTCCAGGCAGCCAACCCAGCCCCCTCCTTCTCAGAGAGAGGAGGCCCAACAGGCTTGTGCCCCCTGCCTTTCCTCCTGTCCCCCCTCCTCCTCTCCGCCTGGCCTGGCTCCCCGTCCCCTGTCACTGGACACCCACCCCAGCCTTCTTGCTGATCCCTTTGCCACAGTCTTCACTGCCCCCCTCCCCATTCCTGTATCCCTAGTGCTGCCAGAGTGAGCTTTCTAGAACATACACCAGGCCTTGCCCTGCAAACCCTGGGGTGGCTCCCACGGCCCCTAGGATCAAGTACAAACTCCCGGAGATGCTTCCCAAGGCCCTCCACGGCCTGGGCCTGCCCACTTCTCTGGCCTCCAACGTCACCAAGGCCCAACCTGCTCGCCAACAGGTTCTGTGTGCCCAGCCCCTAGGGGGTGTCCAACACGTGCTTGTTGCATTTGGGATAGGGAACTGTGGCCCATGGACCGCCTCCAGTTCTCCCTTGTGTGTAGCACAGGGCAGGGAGAACACAAAAAGCTGGACCACCTGCATGCCACCCTCTAAGCACTGTGCCCGGTGCTTTGTGGGGATTCATTTCAGACTTGCACCCCTGTGAGGTCTCAGTGAGGCTCGGGACCTTGCCCCACATCAGGTATCAAGTCACCACCAGAGACAGGTGTCATTGCCAGAGACAGGACTTGGTTCTGGCCTGGGGCAGCCTTTCTTTCCATGACTGCACATGGCAGGCAGCAAGAGTTCGGTGAGCTACGGCTCCTCTGGGCCTTCCCTATGCATCACGGGATTGGCATGAGTGGTAAGAGAAGTCTCATGTGTACAGTGCCCAGAGGTACACTAGAGGATGGCGACTTGTAGCAGCAAGTTATCATTATCGTCATATGATCACGACGAAGCTGACTCTGCTTACACGTGTAAGAATCTGAGTGCATTTGAGAAGAGATGCATCCTGTGGTTTGCAGGTTTTAAGAAAGATCTGGGCCCTGCCCTCACCAGATTTACAGTGGAGTGCAGGGCCAGGCTTGTAGCGCCAGCAGAGGGAGCTAGTGGGAGAGGAGGGAGATCTTAGTCCCAGGGGACACTCCCCGCCCAGCAGCATTTCTTCAGATCTGGGGCGTGCTGAGTAGAGAGGAGAAACGGCGCTCTCCTGCAGTAACCCAGAAGCCCAGTGTAAGCAAAGGCACTTCAGTTCAAGTTGTAGTTCTGCGGGGTTTCCCACTAAGGTTCAAGAAATCCCACTAACCGCCTGTCCCTTGAGTCAGCCAGAGGACTATTTGGAAACTTTCTGCACTGATTTAAATAAAGGAGAGCCTTTCTGGCACTCTTCCTACAGCCCATCTTCCTTGTTGCTACAAGAGATGAAATGGAACCACCCAGGAAAGAAGAACTCATCGAAGTGCCTGAGCAGGACAGAAATACACAGCAGTTAGGAGGAAGCTGCTGGAAGGCGGAGGCTGGCTTGGGTTCCTAAGTAAAGTTGACCCTAGTGACTGGAAAGAAGTGTTCAAGAAGCCCCCGGGTTTAGCTGCTGTTTTGAAAACAAAGCAGCGAGGTGGGAAAGGAGCGTGATTCTGGAATGGGGCTCCCGTGAAAGGAGAGCAGTCTACCCTGCACTCAGACTTCCTTGGCTGAGAACCGTGACAGAAGCTGCTGACGGGGCTGCGACCTCTCTGGCTCACTGATGTTTCCAGGCACGCACGCATGCCACTTCAAAGACAGTTCTCCCTCAAACACAACTCTTGTTTTGGGGACGGTTCAATCTAGCAACAAGGAGTTGTTGTGTCAGGGGCCTACCCCTGCAGAGTGCAAAGTCTAAGGGGAGAGAGATGCAAATAAACAGCAAATTGTCACTGCGGCCTGGTGAACGGAATCCGGGAGCTCAGCTGAGGGGACTCGGGGCCAGGGGCATGTAAGGCGTGGGCAGCTGGAGCCGTCAGGTGGCCACAGGCGGTGATGCCTGAGCTGTGACTTAGTTGGGGAGAGCAAGGTGTCTCTGACACCAGGTTGGAGCACAGACTGGAGAGAGACCGAGGCAGGGAGACGAGATAGGCCGGTCCAAGAGCCCAGAGGTTTTGGGTTTGGAGGGGAGGTTGAGGGAGAGGCAGGGGGAGACAGGAAAGGATTAGGATGGGCAGACTTGAGTGGGCTGAGGGGCAAGAACTGCAGGAGGCAGAGGGAATCGGGGAAGGCTCCAGGGCCTGGAGAGAGCAGATGTGTCAGAGGAACGAGCCTGGAGAGGAGGAGGGCGCCTCTTCACTCATTCACTGATTTGTTGGCCTGGCCACATTTATGGAGTTGCCCATTAACTGCCAAATACCATGACAGGTGCTGGGGACACACGACTAGGCCAGGTGTGGCCCGTGCAGTTTCAGGCTCACGGTCTGTAGGGGCGGCAGGCAGGGAAACAGGCGATGTGGTATCATGCCCTGGGGAATTCTGCAGACCAGCCTGGGAGACACCCTCAATCCCAAAGTTTGCTAGTTTGGATGGTACACATTCCGTCACCCTAGCACTAGGTGAGCAGGGACGAGGACACCCGTGGGAGGAGGGAAGGCTCGAGGGCAGGAGGGGTACCAGGGGCGAGAAGGAGAGAGGATCCAGTTCCTGCTCATCAGGGGTCCCCCAACTAGTGGAGAGTGGCACAAAAATGCATGTCTCTCTGATCCCAGGAAGGCTCCACAAAGGGCTGGAAGAGGTGATCAAACACTAACTTAAAGAAGACACAGAACGGAGGCTAGTGCAGATTAGTGGCCCTAGGAGGCGGGAGTGCTGGACAGGCTCTTCAAGAAGGGGTGGGCGGGGACAAGTAGAGGGCGAGCAGGAACGGCCCCACCCCATCCACGACAGCCACAGCTGCTCTCCTCCTTCCCCGCCCCGCCTGCAGAGGGGATGGGGATTGACCACATTCCCTTTACTCTCAACTACCTTCACCTGGAACAATTTCTCAGCACAGGGACAGCCACTTTTAGTGGGGGCAAAAGGTACGTGGAGGCCAGCCCTGTGCCCATCAGGCTGTTGTGTGACCAACTTTGGCTGCATGACTAGGAAATGGACATTTCTGGATCTTCTGGACCTCCTCTGCCTCCCCTGGAGCAGGAAAGATTCTACTGCAGTGAGACTCGGGCACCAAGGAGGCTGCAGGACTCATGGGGAGCCAGGAGGCTCCCCGTTTTCCTCTTTAGAGGATGAGTCACACAAGGTATAGGTCACTCAGAAGAGGGACAGGGAAAGAATTTGGGGACCACGCTTATTCAAGTGCCAGGCAACTGAGAAGGGAAATGAACAGCTCCCCCTTCCCCATGGTTAGTGGGGCTTGGGGATTGTTAGGGGTTGAATTGTGTCCCTGCAAAATTCATATGTTGGAGTCCTACCCCCCAGTACCTCAGAATGTGACTGTATTTGGAGACAGGGTCTTTACAGAGGAAATCTAGTTAAAATGAGAACATTAGGGTGGGCCCTAATTCAGTACAATTGGTATCCTTATAAATAAGGAAAATTTGGACACAGAGACATGCATAAAGGGAAAATGATATGAAGAGACACAGGGAGAAGACAGCCACCTACAAGCCAAGGAGAGAGGCCTGGAACAGATTCTCCCTCACAGCCCACAGAAGGAAGCAACCCTGCCAACACCTTGATCTCAGACTTCCAGCCTCCAGACTGTGAGACAATACATTTCTGTTGTTTAAGTCACCCAGTCTGTGATACTTGGTTTTGGCAGCCTTGCAAACTAAGACTGAGCTGAAACATGCCTGGAGAGATTGTGAAGACCCTGAGGGAGAGGGAAGGACTGAGGAGGAGGAAGGCAGAGGGGAAAGGGGGACTGGTTCCTCTATGGGCCAACAGAAGCAATGATGTTCAACAAGGCCCTGGAAACATGCTCTTTGGTGGACTGCCAGTCAACTAAGAATATTAAACTTACAAAGCCCTCAGCAGAAAACCATCTGTTCACGGAGCTGAGGGCTGCCTCCATCAGTCTGCTCCACACCCAGCACCAACCAGGCCCGGGCTACCCATGTAGGAGACTGGGGGCAGGGGCAGGACCAGGGGGAAACCCGGGGCAGAGCAGAGGCTCGGGGGAGCACCTCAGAACCCCACTTGGTGGTGCCCCAGCCACAGCTCGAGCTCAGCCACTGAACACAAAGGGTGACCACAGCTCAGCTGCCCGGCCCTGCTGTGCGCTGTTGTCCAGTATGTTTTCAATCTCAGAAAATGTTACATTGAAAAAGCGTGGCAAGGAGGGGGAAATTCTACCCCTTCTTTAAGGGGGTGCCTGCTCTGTGACTTAATACATGCCCTCTTTCTGTTGTGCTACCAGAGTCTATAAACTGTAACCGTGATGCATTTTCCAAATGCCCTTCCACTGACTCCACATGTGGTACCCTGCATAATCATCAGTACTGTCCCCTCCCAGTGCCTCCCAGTCAAGTCACTGGAAAGACTAAGAGTCAAATGCAGTAACCAAAATTACTTCATCTATGTACTTTCAAGCAGTAGAAGACAGAGGTGCTAAGATTTTTAAATCTAACCCAGCAAACAGCATCTGGGTTAGTGTGTGGAAGAAACCTGCTGTAACATGGACGAAAAGGATTGACCCCTGAGAGGCGAGGGCAGAGAACCTCCAGCATATGTTAATACCTAGCATGCACACATTTCTACAACATCATCTTTACTTGGACAAAAAAGACATGCTCTTTTGAAAAGAAGAAAAACAAAAAGATACCTGAGGCCTCATTCGTGGATTCCATCGCACATAATAGTTTACCCATAATTCCAAATGACTCAGACTAGCAACAGGATATAAGACGTGGTTTTCATAATTCACAAAGAAGGGATTAGAAAATTCATCAAGCTGGCTATTGATATAAGACCATAAAGATATAGTCTTTGTATATACATCCTGAAAAACAAAAAAAGAATACACTGAAATAAATTCAACTTTTCTTCATATCCTCAAGAATTTGTATTACATAGAGAAAAGGACTTGAATAATGAAGTGAGTTCCAACTCTGAAAAATTTAGGAACATTTACTAAGCCCTACCCCCATCCCTCTGCTATGCATTGCCTCATGCTGGGGATGGCATGAACACATACACTAGTTGCTGTCCTGGAAAAATGTATTGCTGAGTTAGGTAACATCTGGTAATTGTGTCTATGTGAAGGCAGAATGAGAACTTTAACAACCACAGGATGATGGCGCCAATCAATAACAAATACATTTTTTATTCTGCTTTGCAGTTTGCTTTTGTGACTCTTAATACTGGGGACTGTGGGTAGAATTTACAGATAAGATTCCTTTCACTGGAAATCATGGCTAGCTGGAGAAAAATATGCTGGGGTGGCAGGCTGGAGAAGCCTTATATAGAGAAGTAAATATATCATTAAATTATATCTCCCCACCTCCCAATTTTACAGTAACCATTTAGAAATGCTGTAACTATTTGCATTGCTCAACTGAATGAAAACACCCAAACCCACAGGCATGGCGGGAGAGATAAACATTAAACATGGAGCAAGTAAAGTGACAAAGTCGAAACGAGACAATGGAGAGGCCAGGAGTGTTTTCTATCCTTCTGCTGCTCCCAAGCCAGCTGACTTCCTCACAAGCTATCTAGACACAGAAAATTCCATTAGGACCTTTTCATATTTTATATTTTGTATTTATAAGAGAAATACCAGCAGTAATTCAAGAGACCCCAAATAGCCAAAACAATCTTGAAAAGGAGAACAAATTTGGAGGTCTCACACTTCCCAATTTCAAAACTTACTACAGTAATCACCATAGGTGGTGCTGGCATAGGATGGAGAGACATGTAGATCAATGGAATAGAACAGAGTGTACAGAAATGAACCCCACATTTACAGTCAACTGACTTTCAACAATGGTGCCAAGAAAATTCAATGGGGGAAAGATAATCTTTTCAACAAATGGTGCTGGGACAACTGGATAGCCACATGCAAAAGAATAAAGTTGGACCCTTACCTCACATCACATACAAAAAAACTCAAAATGGATCATAGACCTAAATGTAAGAGCTAAAACTATAAAACACTTATAATAAAACACAGGCTCAAATCCTCACAATCCTGGATTAGGCAATGGTTTCTTAGATATGACACCAAAAGCACAGCAACAAAAGAAAAAATAGATAAACTAGACTTCATCAAAATTAAAAACTTATGTGCTTCAAATGACACCATCAAAAAAGTGAAAAGATAACCCACAGTATGGGAGAAAATGTTTGCAAATCATATATCTGATAAGGGACTTGTATATAGAAAGAATAACATAAGGAACTCTTATAACTCAATAATAAAAAGACAACCCAATTAAAAATGGGCGAAGGATTTGAATAAACATTTGTCCACAGAAAATACATAGATGGCCATAAGCATGTGAAAAGATGCTGAACATCATTAGTCATCAGGGAAAATGCACAGCAAAACCACAATGAGATCCCACTTCACAGCCACTGGGATGGCTAGAATCAAAAAGACACTCAGTACCAAGTGCCTGCAAGGATGTGGAGAAAATGGACCCTCATACATTGCTGGTGAGAATATAAAACGTTGCAACTGCTTTGGAAAAGTCTGGCAGTTCTTCAAAAGGTTAAACCTAGAGTTATATAGGACCCAGCAACTCCACTCCTAGGTGTCTACCGAAGAAAAATGAAAGCATATGTCCACACAAAGACTTGTACACAAATGTTCATAACAGCTTTATTCACAATAGCCAAAGTGGAAACAACCCAAAAGTCCCTCTGCTAATGACTGTGTAAACAAAATATGATCTAGCCATACACTGGAATATTATTGAGCCATAAAAAGGCATGAAGTACTGGTACATGCTGCAACATTGATGAACCTCGAAAACATTATGCTTGGTGAAAGAAGCCAATCACAGGAGGACAAATATGATATGACTCCATTTATATGAAATGTCCAGAATAGGCAAATCCATAGAGATGTAAAGTAAATTATGTGCCAGGGGCTGGGGGGAGAGGAGAATGGGGAGTGATTGCTAATGGGTATGGAGTTTTTTTTTGAGGTGATGAAAATTTTATGAAATTAGATGGTGGTGATGGTTACACACTCTGAATATACTAAAAACCACTGAACTGTATACTTTAAAAGGGTGAATTGCATGGTATGTAAATTATATCTCAAGAGAGCTGATTGTTTTTTAAGTACAATTTGGCAAAAAAAGATAAAACCATAAGGGTTTAAATTCTACATATGAACTTCATTCTTCTGTTGCTGATTTTTTTAATGGCTTTATTGAGATATAAGTCACATCATAAAATTCACTCTTTAAAATATTTTTTTCTTTTTATTACAAGGTAAACAGAGTCCCATCACACTGGGCCCGAAGAAGGTGAATTTTATCCTCATTGCAATGGGAAGCCACAGGGAGGTTTCAAGCAGGGGACAGGCACATGACAGGCCTGAAGTTTGGGAACGCTGCCCTGGTTGCAATGTTTACAGTGTTCTGGAGGTCAGAAATGGAGGCAGGGAAGCCCGTTCCTGGGCAGCTGCCTCAGTCCAAATGCGAGACGATGGCGGCTTGAACTAGCCTTGTAGCTGTAAAGCAGTGAGAAGTGGCCAGATTAAGAGTCTGTTTCAGGGACAGGGCCAGCAGCACTCACTGATGGACCGGACATGGCAGCTGGGGTGAGGGCAAGGGAGGAATTGCAGTTGGGCCCTATGTATCTGGCCTCAGCATCTCGATGGGCAGAGGCGCCATTACTGAGATGCGAAAGAGCAGGGGAGGAACAGGGGTGTGGCATTTTGGTCCCTGAGATGGAGGAAGTCACCTAGAGAAAGAACAGAGTTTGGGGTGAGAAGAGAACCCAGGACTGGGCCCAGGCAACTCCAAGTTTAGAGATGGGTCACAAGGGAAGAGACTGAGCGGGGGAGGCCAGTGAGGTGGGGGAGAGAGGGCCTGGTCAGCTGTGGGGAGGCTGCTCAGAAAGAGGGAGGTGGGTGCTCGGGACCTACTGTTTTCCCCTAAATTCTATAATGTTCAACTATGTTTAGACCACGAGCAGTAGTCCTTTTCTATTAACCAGAGGATACTCTTTAAGCTGCCTCTTCCCAATGCTTCCTCACTTTTGATCATTTCTTTTATCCCAAAATGAGGAGAAAAGCAAAAGGGTGAAACGTAACTCTGAGAAGCTTGGTAGCTGCTTCTTTATCAGGTTGATGGAAAAGAAAGTTTAGCTTGCTACCTAGAGGGAGGTTTTGGGCTCATCTACAGACTTCATTTTCTAAGGTCTCCAAGTACCCTTCGGTCCAACAGCACAGAGAATGACAAGCAGAATCATATCATTTTGGAGTCGGTGCAGTGGAACGTACATGAGCTTGGAGTTTAGGGGGTCCAGAGTCTAGTACTAGCCCAACAGACCTTAGAGACCTCAGAGAGCTATGGGCTCACTGGGTCCCAGCCCCCAGCGTCCATAAAGTAAGGGGCTTGTATCAGACAACCTGGAAGACTAGGCACATGCTCTGGGGCTGGTGAAGCCTGGGAGGGCATCTACTGCCACCCCTCCATTTAGAGACAACAGCAGGGCTAGACCCAAGTCCCCTCTCCATTCAGTCCCTCTTCTACAGTGGCACTTAATGGAAAAGGCATCCAAGCAATCAGGAAAGCAATAGACTGGCTATATGACACTTACCTCTTGGAATCGCTGCTGTTCACAGTTGCACAAGAAAGTCCCAAAGAGACAGCTATAAAGGTGATCCAAAATTGTAATCAAGAATAGTTCATTAAACTCGAACGCTGAAGGAAACTTCAATGGAGAGAGAAATAAGGTTTAATTTTAAAGTTCAATTTCTAAAACAAAGTGGTGCTAATTTTTTGTGTCAACTCTGACAATGGCCTCACATTCCAAAAGGAAAACTGAGCCCCTGTAGAACTTAACTATCTATAGTTTCAAGTTCAAGCATATAGAGCTGGCTGAGAGACAACCAGAAGCAACAAAAATTGTTGTACTCTTCAATGCCTGAAATAGCTTATGTAGCCCCCACTTCTCGTCATGATGGTAGAACAGAGCTCACGTTCACCCTTCTGCCAGAGCCAATTAGAAAGCTGAACAAAATATGTTAAACAACTGTTTTCAGACTTTGGCAACAGGCAGCCTGGGACAGTGAACACCCTGAGAGAAGGGAAACAAATGAGGCGAGTCCTATTATCTCAGCTTTCCACCTGGAGGCACATTTCTGAGCCATGGAGAAGGGAGGGGGGGTTCCCAGGCACAGCATATACCAAAACTGCCTCAAGAAGAAATAGAAACTCTATCTATTAAAGAAACAACTCATAATAAAAAACCTTCCCACAGAGACAACTCCATGAACATACATTCCCAAATCCTTATAATATATAAGCAAGTTGAATCTGACAATATATAAGAAGGGTAACACAACATGACCAAGTGGGATTTATCTCAGTAATGCAAGGTTGGTTTAACATTTGAAAATCAATGTTATAAAAAATATAAATTACTGTAGTTCACCATATTAACAGAATAATGAAGAAAATCAGGGCCGGCCCTGTGGCTTAGTGGTTAAGTGCGCGTGCTCTGCTACTGGCGGCCCGGGTTCAGATGCCGGGCGCACACCAACGCACCACTTCTCTGGCCATGCTGAGGCCATGTCCCACATACAGCAACTAGAAGGATGTGCAACTATGACATACAACTATCCACTGGGGCTTTGGGAGGAAAAAAAAAAAAAAGGAGGAGGATTGGCAATAGATGTTAGCTCAGAGCCGATCTTCCTCACCAAAAAAAGAGGAGGATTAGCGTGGATGTTAGCTTAGGGCTGATCTTCCTTACAAAAAAATAAAAGAAAGAATAATGAAGAAAATCATATGATCACCTCAACTGTTGTTTTAGGTAATTCTTAATGGGGTTTTGGAGAATTCCGATGAAGACTTTACCATTGCCAGAAGGTTCTATCCAGTAACTGGCATTTAGTAGCTATGAGGAGATGATCTGGCAATGATAATAATGATCCTAGCAGCAAGCATGTACTGGAGGCCTACCATGTGCCAGAATTCTAATTTTAAAACATAGTAAAATATTTATCACCTCATGAATGAAGCAATGCCAATTAGAACAAAACCAAATAGAACTACCCAGCATATTTTTGTCAGTTTACTTTAAAGACCTATTCCCTGATCGGAGTGCTGTTGGCACACAATTGTGACTAATCCTATCATCTCTAAAGTGACAACCAGGATCATTGATAGACAAATTTATTTTTTAGCGTAGCTTTATTATTTTACTAGACCAAGGACAAGCTTCTCAATTAGAAACAAGTCAATCCAGGACTGTCCAAACTCCACCTGAATTTATTTTCCTACCATCACACTATTACATTATCCAATTTAAGAAATTCTGCTCAGCTACCTTGGATTAAGATCTGCCTCTCTCTCCATCTTAAGGATTGCTTTCATAGAGACGCACAACTCTCTCCTAAGGAGCCCCATCAGAATACCACTTCTTCAGAAACCTCTGGAAACTAGCTGTGGTGGTTGTTCTTACCAGTATTCTTATTCTTAAATGAACTAAATCAATAATGAACTAAATCAATGAAATCTGGCTGATAATGCTAAAGATAGCTACTGGTGAATCCTCTTTCAGAGCCTTTAAGATTGTCCCTTGCACCTCTGACAATGGCTTCACATTCCAAATGGCTATCTTTTAAAAGGCCAAGAACATTATGTCCATCTTCACAGTATTTTCTATGCAGCTTAGTTATACCCTATTTCATAAATTATTGGTACCACTAAATTTATTAATTAAGCAAATATAAACATTTATGTATATTGAAGCTTTATTAAATCAAGGATAGGAATGGAAGATCTATATTTTATTTTCAAACATTTAAAAATATATGTTTACTGGGCCGGCCCCGTGGCTTAGTGGTTAAGTGCACGCGCTCTGCTACTGGCGGCCCGGGTTCGGATCCCGGGCGCGCACCAATGCACCGCTTGTCCGGCCATGCTGAGGCCGCATCCCACATACAGCAACTAGAAGGATGTGCAACTATGACATACAACTATCTACTGGGGCTTTGGGGGAAAAAAAAAAAAGGAGGAGGATTGGCAATAGATGTTAGCTCAGAGCCGGCCTTCCTCAGCAAAAAGTGGAGGATTCAGCAGGATGTTAGCTCAGGGCTGATCTTCCTCACAAAAAAAATAAAAATAAAAATATATGTTTACTAACAGGACAGCAAGGCTTTTACTGACATATTTTTGAACTCGTATGAGTCTTCATTCCTAACCGGAGCCTGCATTCTGGATTTAGCCACGTGGGCATTAGGCATGGGAGATCTGGATGGGTGGCACCCATGACACAAGGGCTCCATTTACTCGCCTTGGGTCAGGACTGCTATTCACATTCACAGGGCACTGGGGCATTAAGTTCAACTCAGAAAACATTTCATTAGGGGAAGTGGCAACAGCTAGAGTAATACAAAGAAAAGAGTGAGTCTGTGATTCACAGTTTTTGCCTCTTCTCCTGGAAACTATACCATCTACCTAGAAAGCATGGTCTCAAAAACTCCACAGAAATCCATAATGAAATTCTGCACCTCTTGAGGGACAAAAATATCAATGACTATTAAACCTATCCCAAAGAGTAAAGAGTCTATTACACTATGGTTTTTGTAGAATGTCTTCGAGACTCTTCTCTAAAGAGTCCCTCAATTACTTTTTTTTTTTTTTTTATTGCAGTATCTACTGAAAGCTATCCCTCTAAGAACAGGAACCAGACAAGGATGCCCACTGTCACCACTCCTATTTAACATAGTATTGGAAGTCCTAGCCAGAGCAATCAGGCAAGAGAAAGAAATAAAAGGGATCCAAATTGGAAAGGAAGAAGTGAAACTGTCACTATTTGCAGATGACATGATTTTATATATAGAAAACCCTAAAGAATCCACCTCAATTACTTTTTCCCTTAGTTCCTTTTACATCAATTGTACACACAGACTAGTTCATTTTATTCTGCGATTTCTGACAACTTTACACTGATCTAGCTTACTTGATTTAGCAGTAGACAACTTAAAAATAAGTTAATCTTGTTACATGAATGCATCTTTTCTAACAAGCTACATTTCATTCCCTTGGACTTAATTGATAGTTAAAGACTAATCATTCATGTTTCTGCTTCTAATGCATTAACAATGTTATTTTACAAGAAATTACTTATACACATTTCACAGAGTCTTAGAGCTGTGAGAGGCATCTGAAATCTTCTAATCCAAATCTCTTTTCTTTCTTAAAATCCAATAAACAATACAAAAATGAGAGAGATTAGACATGAAAATAGGCACTAAGCAATATGAAAAACGGAAGTCAGTTTGAAGATGTTAAAAACACACACACACACACACACACACACACATTTATCTAGACACTTGGGAGGAATAAGCTACTTCCCATCCATAAAAATGGTGCTTTTCAGAATTATTTTTTGTGTTCAACTTTTTAACGCAATTTTTATAAAATGTATTTCATACTTTCTTGTCTTAACCTGAATGTAACCATCATTTAATTTTGTTGCTGGCTTGGCGTCGATACAAATAGCAAGAAGTGCATGGCACTACGAACGGGAAGACCTCTGGCCAGCCTCTGTGCCTTTTGAGTATGTGCTTGCTGCTACCTGTCACTCGTACTGTTGGATGCCTACCTCCGAGACCATCCTCTCTTACCACTCCCCATCACTTTGAATCAGCTGTGACCTGACACTCAGATGATGTGAGAGCCCAATCAGCTTAAGGGAAGCTGGGGCTGGGTCTAAAAAGCAGGAGACAGTTCTAAGCAAGGGCCTGAGGGCTCTGAAATCTACTTTGGCTGCTCAGAACCCTCCCCCCCACCATTCTTTTCCCTTATTTCTGAAGGAATGTCTATGCTCTCTAGACCCTTGCTACTCCAAGTGTGATCTATGGACCAGCAGCGTGACCTGGGAACTTGTTAGAAATGAAGACTCTCAGGCTTGCCCCAGACCCACGGATCAGAATCTGCATTTTAATAAGATCCCCAAGGGATGTGTGTGCTGATTAAAGTTTGAGCAGGACTGGTCTAGAGCAAAATCCTCTGAAGGGCTTGTGAACCACAGTGCTGGGTGCCCCACCAACCAGTGTCAGCAGGTCTGGCGCCGGGCCTGAGAATTTGCATCTCTAACTAGTTCCCAGGAGAGGCTGAGGCTACGGCCCCAGGACTGCACTTGGAGCCACTGGTCTAGATCACCGGTCCTCTAACTTATTTACATATCAGAACCACTTGGGAACTTTTAAAAACTACACACACCTGGGCCTCTCCCCAGGCCCACAGGAAGAAGGGTCTCCAGGGGTGGGTCCCAAACATGCACATCTTTAAAGTTTCTGGGTGTGGACTCTGGTTGGAGAGCTAGGGCTCTGGGTCCTTCAGGTGGCCCTTGGGGAGGAGCCCAAACTGAGGCAGAGAGGGCAGCATAGGCAGTGCGGGGGTTCTCACCCTTTTTCTTGTCCCATTACTCCCATCTGTAACAGAGGCTCACAGAGAGGAAATGGACTGGTATTTCACAGACGACAGGGTGTGGGAGGCAGATGTCCTTTGCAAAGGTCCCAGGCTGATCGTGTAAGCCAGCCAGGAGGATCAATCATGAGCACATGGCTGTTTGTGGAGTCACGGCAGGTTGCCAGCAGTCTTTCCAGCTGGTTCCCTTCATGTGACTGAAGCGGCCAAGGCCAGGGCTCAGGGCAGATAGGAAGGAGAGAGGCCAGACCATGGTTCTCTATCCTCTCAGTCTCTTCCTCACAACCACATCCTCAGCCAGGCTGGGCAGCAGGCACTCAGGAAGCTATTCTGTCTTCTGTATTCTCTGTCTCTGTCTGTCTGTCTATGTTCTCCCCCCTGTAGATTACTCTGTCTCCCTTTGTCTCTCTCTGGCACTCTCTCTGGCTCTGGCTTTCTCTGGTTCCAGGTCCCCTTCCCTGGCACTATCTCCTATCATGAGGGTAAGACCCCAAACTCAGGTTTGGATGTTGGAGATGAGGGGGAAAAACAGCACATGCCTCATGGCCTGCTGTGAACGGAAGCCATCGGGGCCCAACTAGCTTAGCGAGGGGATCCCTGCGTGGCCCCCTTGCTCACCAGGGCCCGGGGCATTGGGGTGTGGAAACTAAGCACCAGGTAATGATGAGACATTCCGAAGCTTCCTATCTGCCGTTGGTTCTTGAATTCTCATTTCTCTCAGCGACCTTGGGGTTGGAAGGGCTGTGGCCTGGGGCAGGGTGTGCAGATTCCTGGATTCCCTGGTCTAATCCCCTTTGCTGGCCTGGGAGGTCAGTCACATCCCCCTCTCTAATACCTGGAGGAATCTTACATTTCCTGCCCAGCAGAGGAGTGTGTTTCCTTCTGCTGAAAGAAGGGAGCAAGAGAAGCAGAGTGACTGGGAAGCAGGGCCTTGGTCTGCACAGCTGGTGGACAAGATGACGGACAAAAACAATATGCACGAGAAAAGTAGCTTTTGGTGTGAAATTGGTTGTTTCTAATTTTCTGCTTATATTTCTAAGTGAATTAGAATCAAACTGAAATAACAGAGAGGTCATATTTTACACACATACACGTCTTCATTTTGAATGAACAGGAAATGAAAGTTTATCTAATCTTCAACTCTAAGATATGTTTGAATCAGACTATGTAGGTCAGAAATATACTTGAAATCTCTCACCTGTCTTGTCATTTGCCAAACACAATCAATAAACTGAAGAAATATTGGGGATCGGTCAGCATCTGCGTGGTTGTCATTGCCATGGCCCACACGCTGAAAAGAAACAAGAGGTTAAACGTTTTAACATATGCTATGGTCCTCTCAAAAGTCACTTTAGGGGCCGGCCCGTTGGCGTAGCAGTTAAGTTTGCACACACTGTTTTGGCAGCCCAGGGTTCACAGGTTTGGATCCCGGGCACAGACCTACACACTGCTTGTCAGGCCATGCTGTGGCGGCATCCCATATAAAGTAGAGGAAGATGGGCACGGATGTTAGCCCAGGGACAATCTTCCTCAGCAAAAAGAGGAGGATTGGCAACAGATGTTAGCTCAGGACTAATGTTCCTCACCAAAAAAAAAAAGTGACTTTAAGTTGCCTGGTGACAAGAATCATGTCTCCTTTCTGTGTCCCAAGGCCTTAACAGAATTCCTGGCACATAATGTGCCACTCAAAAATGTTCATTGAATTGCATTGACTTCCATCACTCTTAGGAAACAAAATTTCAGTGTACTATTTACCTGTTGATTGTTTTATAATTTTTATTTCATATAGCTGGGATCAAGAAGTTACAAGCAAACAGCCAGCAAACTTCAGTCCAAATTAAGGGGTCAACCCTAGCCACCACACCAAGTGCACAGTGTCAATGTGGGACTACCAATTAGCATCTCATAAAGCACATAACCACTGCCATTTTCTCCACAAGTGTAAAAACAGATTTTCCATTTTTCAGAAATGTCAAGAAGTCTGAGAATCAAAATACCGATTAACAACCTACAAGTTTTAGCCAATTCTGCATGACTCGGAAAACCCCAAAATCTCACTCTTGAGATGATAATGGGAGGAGTCCTTGCTTCAGGTAGTCTAGTACTGCACTTCTTTTTTTCCAGTTTTGAGATATTTGACATCCAGTATTGTGTTTCATACCTTTTCATATTTTAGAAGATATTAATAGATTCATACTAAAAGGTAAAAGATAATGTCAAAAACATAAACAGGACCGACAAAAACACTGAAAATGTCAAGTTAAACAATAGCTCAAGAATGAGCATTCTAAGAGAAGCTTCAAATAATCTGATGACTAAGCAAAAGGATGAGAAAGAAAAACACATTTTGAAGATACAACACAATCACCAGCTAGAAAGAGCAAAAAACACTGCGTCTATGAAATCGCCACCAGGAAAGACATAAAAACAAGGAAATAACCAAGTCAACGTCAACACCTTAGAGTAACATTGTATTGCCATTTAAAAAAAATTAATTGTGGTGAAATATACATAACATCAAATTTACCATTTTAACCATTTTTAAGTGTACAGTTCAGCAGCGTTAAGTACATTCACATTGTTGTGCAACCATCACCACCATCCATCTCCAGAACTTTTTCATCTTCCCAAACTGAAACTCTCTCCCCATTAAACACTAACTCCCCCTCCCCCAGCCCCTGGCACCCACCATCTTACTTTCTGTCTCTGTGAAGTTGACTGCTCTAGGACCTCGTATAAGTAGAATCATACAATACTTTTCCTTTTGTGACTGGCTTATTTCACTTGGCATAATATCCTCAAGGTTCATCCATGTTGTACCATGTGTCAGAATCTCCTTCCTTTTTAAGGTGAATAATTCCATTGTATGTATATGCCACATTTTGTTTATCTATTCACCTGTGGGTGGACGTGGGTCGCTTCCACATTTGGGCTATTGTGAATTATGCTACTATGAACATGGGTGTGCAAATATGTGTTTGAGCATACACCCAGAAGCAGACTCGCTGGATCATATGGTAATTCCACTTTTAATTTTTTGAGGAACCGCCATACTCTTTTCCATAGCAGCTGCATGCATTGCCTTATTTCTGTCCAGTCATGCATCACTTAACGATGGGTACACATTCTGAGAAATGCGTCGTTAGGTGATTTTGCCGTTGTGCACACGTCATAGAGTGCACTTACACAAACCTAGATGGTACAACCTACTACACACCTAGGCTGTATGGTACTAATCTTATGGGACCACCGTCGTCTATGTGGTCCATCGTTGACCAAAAGATCATTATGCGGCACACGACTTGTACTTCCCCTTTATAAAATAATTTGTACAACTGGCTCTTCAGTACTTGAGGCACCTAGGGAACAGTCTTACACTGACAGTTCACAATTTCAGATTCATTTTTTCTTTTAATAGACATTCACTGAACTCCTATGGTGCTTGCAAGGCATGCTTCCTGGCCCTTGGGATTTCTGGCATTTTCATGGTGTCTAGTAGAGGCCAGGCCCTTGGCTAGACACCTGGGGTACCAAGACAAATGAGACACGGTACCTGTGCTGGATGAATAATTAATTTATGGTCTAGTTGTGGGAGAAAGACCTGTAAATAATGAGGGCAATAGTGTTCCAAGGGCTTCTGAGTCTGAGAGGGCTATGGTGGGGCCACAAAGGAGCAAGTGGCAATCTTAGAATGGGGCAGAGGAGGGAACAAGGAGGGAAAGTCACAGTCATGGAAGAGGTGTCACTTGAGATAAACCTTGAAGGACAGGAAGGTACCTGCTTCCTGGCTAGCCAGGGATATATTATATTTTAAGCAGTGGGAATGTGGTGGGGGCACAAGGGATGCCATAAGTAGCTGGAAACGGCTGAGGCTCAGGGGATGAGGCAAGGCTGGAAAGGCAGACTAGGGCCAGATCACGAAGGGCCTTGAATGCCACGCTGAGGAGTTTGCCCACAATCCCGTAGGCCACGGGAAGGCTCTGAGGGATTGACGCTTGGGAGTGGCAGCATCAGATCTGCTTCTTGGAACACCCTGTCTGGCTCCAGTGGGGAACGACGGATTGGTTGGGTATAGGTGACAGAGAGGCTAGTTAGGAGACTGCCATAATAATCCTTCGGGAGATGGCCAGACCTGAGTTAAGCGGGCATCAGTGGCAATGGCGAAGAGACAACATAATGAAATACATGTATTTAAAGTCATGGGACTGGCTGAGATCACTAAGGGATTAAGCACACAGATGAGTACCGATCCAGGGATTGAGCCCTGGGGTACTCAAACATTAAGAGGTTGGGGAGAGAGCAAGGACCAGAAGGTAGGAGAAAATTCAAAAGGTTGTAGAGACCTAGAAGCCAAGTGAAGAAGGTGTTTCCAGAAGAAGGGAAGAATCAACAGTGTCAAATGCTCAGACCAAGTAAGAGAAGGACTTGGAAAATGTGACAAGAGTACTTTCAAGGGGGGCTTGTGAGGAGGAAGTCTAGCTGCAGTGGGTTCAAGACAGACCAGAAGGAGAGAAAGTGACAGTGAGTGCAGACAACAGTTTTGAGGAGCTTTATTGTAACAGGGAGCAGATTAATTGGAGTGACAGCTGGAGGGGGAAGTGGGGTCAAGATGGTTGGCTTTTTACGGTTGGATAATAGCATGTTTCTATACCAAAAGGAATGATGTAGGAGAGAGGGGAAAATGGAGGCAGGACAGAGGCAGAAACAGGAAAAAAGTGGTCCATGACAAGGTCCATGAGGCAGATGACGGTACAGGTGGGAAAGAATAGGAATTGGCCTCAGGTAGGAACTCAGACAGCTCATCCACAGAAACTCAGGGAAGGAAGAGTACAGGGACCCAACAGGTGGGTGGCTGCAAGCTTGAAACCACTGTTTAAATGCTGGCTCCAACCTAACTAGCTGGGTGACTTTGGGTAGATAACTCACTCTTGAAACCTCAGTTTCCCCATCTGTCAACGATAATACTTGCCTCACAGGGTCGTTACAGGATTAAACCAGATGATACATGTAACAGTGCTGGACACACAGTGGCGCTCAGTAAGTTGAGGCCAATACGAATCTTATGATCTTATCACCTTGGTGAGGCCCAGCGTTAGTAAGTAGGGATGGGAGCAGAGTGCTGTGGGCATGCCCTGATGTGTGGCGTGTGCTGCCGTCACTGGCCTCTCAATAGATGGCCTTTACCACTGCCCTTTTAGTAAAGGGCCCCTACCAGCTTTCTTTCACCCAGGACACAGTTTAGGGTGGAAAGGTGGAAGAGAATTGCCTCTCAGTCTTCAGAGAGGGCCAGGTGCAAACACTGGGGAAGACTCCACGCTCTCTCTCCTCCCCACTGAGCCCAGCCTGTGCTGAGGGGGTTAGCAACAAAGGAGGTCATGATAATGTTTAACGTAATAACAGGAGCTAAAACTTACCCACACAGCCTGGGCCAGGCACTGTCCTAAGCACCTGACACATATAAACTCATTCCTCCCCCACTCCCCGAGCCCTGCACAATACTCCATTTCAGAAGGGACACCAAGGCACAGAGAGTGAAGGGATGTGTCCAAGGATCTGACAACAGCTCCCAAAGGGCATGCGGCTCAGAGGCTGTGGACCTGCCCTTCCCTCTCGTCCTCAACAGTGTGGGCACACTGCATGCACTTGGTGCCCCGATGGTGGGAGCCACTGAAGGTCTCCCACTGCCCATCTGCCTGCTTTCCACTAGTCAGTGTGAATGGGGCTTCAGGAGTATTCCAACTCAGTGCAACGTTCAGACAAATCCCCAATGGTTCAACGGCCCAGATAGACCAGGAATTAGCTGCCATTTGGACTAAAACACAAATGGCAACCCAAGAATGCCCTACCAAATGACCCAGCAATCCCAATCCTAGGTATATACCCAAACGTGAAAGCAGGCTGTTATGGGCTGAATTGTATCCCCTTCACCCAATTTGTATGTTGAAGCCCTAACCCCCATTTCTCAGAATGTGACTATACTTGGAGATAGGGCCTTTAATGAGGTGATTAAGTTCAAATGAGGCCATTAGGGTGGGCTCTAATCCAGTCTGATTGGTGTCCTTATAAGAAGAAGAAATTTGGACACAGACTTGCACAGAAGGAAGACCACATGACGACACAGAGAGAAGACAGCCATCTACAAGCCAAAGAGAGAGGCCTCAGAAGAAACCAACCTTGCCACAATCGCAATCTTGGACTTCCAGCCTCCAGCACTGTGAGACAAATTTCTGTTGTTTAAGCCACCCAGTCTGTGGCACTTCGTATGGCAAAAACTTATACACCAATGTTCATAGCAGCATTATTCACAATAGCCGACAGGTGGCAACAATCCAAGTGCCCATCAACAGACGAACAGATAAACAAAATGTGGTATATACATACGATGGAACGCTATTCAACCATGAAAAGGAATTAAATATTGATATATGCTACAACATGGATGAAGCTTGAAATCATCATGCTTAGTGAAATAAGCCAGTGACACGAAAGACAAATACTGTATGATTCCACTTATGTCAAGTACATAGAATAGGCAAATCCATAGAGACAGAAAGCAGATTAGTGGTTGTCATGGGCTAGGGGAGGGGGGAATGGGAGTGACTGCTTAATAGGTATGGTGTTTCCTTTTAGAGTGATGAAAATGTTTTGGAACTAGATAGAGGTGATGGTTGCACAACACTGTGAATGTATTAAACGCCACTGAACTGTATACTTTAAAATGGGTAATTCTATGTTATATGAATTTTACCTCAATTTAAAAAAAAAAAAAGGCATACCTACACTACAAAAATAAATAGAATTCCCTACCAGGAATATACAATGCTGAGGTCCATGGTATTCTATTATGGCGATTCAGGTCTGATACAGAGCGGAAAGCCTCAGCGTGTGTGCCTGCATGTTATGCATGATACGCACGTGTGTATGATAGAGCAAAACAGTCAAGCATGAACCTCGCCGTCTCCACTTACCAGTGCAAACTTATGTCCAAAGCTTATCCACTCCTTTTCTATGAGAGCCTCGAATCCTTTAATGGTACGGTAATAACTGTCCAACATCAGCATGGCCAGAGACGTCAGCTGGGCTGTTCGGTCCCAACCGTCGCTGCAATGCACCACCACCGAAGTTTTCCCAGATTCTATTTTATCAGCAATTCTTACTGCCCCAGCAAGAAGCATCTTCAGAAAAGAAGGCACATTAGATCAAGCAACATTTAATTTCTATTACAGCAAAAATAATTCTGGGGAGAATGTTGGAAGTTCCGGTCAATAAACCAAACAAGAACGCAATCAACTGAGAGTCACTAGGAAACATTAGTATCGTGGGGAAGAAAAACTCACACTAAGAAAAACTAAAGCAGTAAATAGGGGTCTTTATTAAAGGGCCACAAAGTGCTTTAAAAACCTGATCTGAGGCAAGCATTATCCCTTTTTATTTTGTCACAAAAGCCTCTCAACAAACCGCAGTCTGGATACTGCCTATGGAAACTCTGAAAGCCCAAGTACACAGCAAAGATGTGCTTATTTGCAATGTTGAGAAACCACTTGGATAGACAGAAGGGTTTATGGCACAGATGCAGAGAAATCTTAACCAGAAAGCATGTAAAGGACTGGCCCTCTTTACCCTTATATACTCCAGCCAATGTGTCCCATCCACGTTGGACAGCCACCGTGCCTCATCGATGGAAGGGTACACGATCTCTTTCAATTTCCGTAGTGACTCTCTCATCACGTGAATGTTGTGGATCTCCAAGAACACAAGTTCTGCATTGGGGTAAGCACTTTCACTTTCATAGCCTCCACCCTTTGCCTGTGAAAAACATAAGATATACATCACTTCATCTGAGTTAACTTTTCCATTCTTTCTAGTGTTACCAGATAGAGACCATTAAAGAAGCAACAAACTCATCTGCTTATAATAAACCTCCTACATCCTTGTACAAGTTTCCTGGGGCTGCTGGAAAAAAGTACCACAAGCAGTAGCTTAAAACAACAGACATTTCTTCTCTCACAGTTCTGGAGGCTGGAAGTCCAAAGTCAAGGAATTGGCAGGGCCGTGCTCCCTCAGAACCCTTTTGAGGAGGATCCTTTTTTGCCTCTTCCAGCTTCTGGTGGCCCCAGGTGTTCCTGGTTTATAGATACATTACTCTAATTTCTGCCTCATCATCACATGGCCTTCTCTCTCATTTTTTTTTTTTTTTTGCTGAGGAAGACCGGCTCTGAGCTAACATCTATTGCCAATCGTCCACCTTTTTTTTTCCCCCCAAAGCCCCAGTAGATAGTTGTATGTCATAGTTACACATCCGTCTAGTTGCTGTATGTGGGATGCGGCCTCAGCATGGCCGGAGAATCAGTGCATCGGTGCGTGCCCAGGATCCGAACCCGGGCTGCCAGTAGTGGAGCGCGCACACCGCTAAGCCACAGGGGCCAGCCCCGGCCTTCTCTTTTTGTCTGTGTCTCTTCTCTTCTTATAAGGACACCAGTCAGATTGGATTAGGGCCCACCCTAATTCAATATGACCTCATCTTAACTTGATTACATTTGCAAAGACCCTATTTCAAAATAAGGCCACATTCACAGGTACCAGGAGTTAGGACTTCAACATATTTTTAATGGAGACACAATTCAACCCATAACAATCCTCCATCACCCATCATCAATTTTTAAACCATTAACAATTGGATCTTACTCAAGGCAAATTAGGTTTAAAAAGGTTCTGTTAGTGCCATCTATCTGAATAGAAAAAGTTGTACTACCATAAAATTTCTGTATAATGAAGCAATTTGTAAATCTCAAACAAGGAGATTTATTTAAGAAATTTAAGTAAAATAAAATGCAAATGTAACAAAGAAGGGAGATATGGCTCACCCCTTGGTAACCTCATAACAAAATCTGTTCTATAATTAGCTTTTATTTTGTAGAAGTCAACATTAACAGTGTGAGAGAATGAGAATGTGATGAGAATGTAGAGAAACTGAAACCATAATACATTGCTGGTAGGAATTAAAATTGTGCAGTCTCTGTGGAAAAAAGTTTGGTGGTTCCTCAAAAAGTTAAACTTAGAATTACCATATGACCCAGTAATTCCACTCCCACAGAACTGAAAACAGGTATTCAAACAATACCTTGCACATGAATGAGCACAACAGCACTGTTCACATCAGGCAAAAGGTGGAAGCAACCCCAATGTCCACCAATGGATGAATGGAAAGACAAAACGTGGTCTCTCCATACAATGGAATATTATCCAGGCTTAAAAAGGAATGAAGTACTAATACAGCCTATAACATGGATGAACCTTAAAAACATTACACTAAGTCAAAGAAGCCAGGCACAAAAGACCACCTATTGTATGATTCCATTTATATGAAATGTTCAGAACAGGGAAATCTCTTCAGACAGAAAGTAAATTAGAAGTTGATAGGGGCTGAGGGGAGCGGAGGGGAGAATGAGAAGTGACTGCCAATGGGCACAGGATTTCCATTTGGGGCTATGAAAGTGTTCTGGAATTAGACAGTGGTGACAGTTGGTGAGTTTTATGTTATGTGAATTTTATCTCAATGAAAAATAATAAGTGCATCTGTGAACCCAAAGACCGCACCCTTCCTTTAGTCTCCAACCATTTACCGAGTGGATATTAATGCTCGGCCCTGAGCTAAATATTGGGGCGACAGTTATGAAGAGGTAGAGACCCTGGTCGTCTAGGCACTCAAAATCTGGTGGGGTAGGCAGGTGAGGAGAGGTGCCAGTGCAGCACAGGGGGCAGAAGAGCACGGGGTGTGCTGAGACTACACGGCCAGACCTGGGAGGCTGCCGGGGGGACAGAAGAGACATCTACACAGAGAAGAGAACACAAGTCAGGAAAGCTTTGCCGTGGGGAGGAAGGTCAAGAACACACAAGGCAGAGAGGTCATTGTGTGTAGATGCCCAAAGATGGGTAAGGATGTGGCCTCCTGAGGGGCCAGCAAGAAGTTCAGCAGAGAGAACACTAGGGCAGTGGTGAGGGCAGCAAGCGATGAGGCCAGAGAGCAGCCAGGGGCTGGATGGCACAGGGAAGGGGGAGGGAGGGGTCAGACTGCTGAGGAGTGTGGGGAGGGCTCAGTCAGACTTGCACTCTAGAATCATCGCTGGCTCCACTGGGCAGAAGGGACTGGAGGAGGGTGGGACCTTCTGCAGGGAGACCAGCTCGGAGCCAGGTAGTCATCCGGCTGAAGGAATCATGGTGGAGGCAGCAGAGCACAGAGACACATCTGATTTGAGATATTTAACAGGCAGGATATGGCGGCTGATTGGGGCAATGGAAGTGGGTAGCACAGGAGGTGACAGTGACACCCGTGATTCTGGGCTGGGCAACCCAAGAGATGGTATCAGTTACTGAGACATAGACTATTGGAGAAGGAACAGAGTGTTCGGCTTTGAGTACAGTGAGCATAAAATGCCTGTGAGAAGCTGAAGTGGAGATGTCTGCAGGCAGCGGGACGCACAGGTCTGGAGTGCAGACAAGAGGTCTGAGCTGTGAATATCAGTACGAAGTCACTGGCATATGGATGACTATTGGGGGACAGAGGTATGGCGTATGGTACTCAAGGTTAGTGTGTAACGTGAGGAGAGAAGATAAGGCTGGAAGCCTGAAGAAGGCCAACATTCAAGGAACATAAAGCAGAAGAGACTGAGAGGAGCAGCCAGAGAAAGAAAAAAGGGAAAAGAGTATTTTGAAAAGGAGAAGGTACTCAACTATGTCAAAAGCTCGCGAGGTCAAAGAAAATAAGAACTGAAAAATACACACTGGATTTCAAGACACGAAAGTACTTGATGACCTTATCAAGAAGAGTCTGGGAAGAGATGGGATGGGAGCTAGTTTTGCATGGTTGAAGGGGTGAGTGAGTGGCAGTGAGCACCTAGGGGTATCAAGGAGACAATTCCTCCAAGAAGTCTGTCTGCACAGGGCAGAAGAACAATGGTGCTAGCTGGGAGGGGACAGTGACAGTGATCTGAGGGAGGGCTTATTTGCATAGATGGGAAAGAACAAAGATCTTAGAGAGGGAAAAGGGATAACTGAGCAGGCAGGGGAGGCTGGGGGTAGCATACAAGGCACAGGGAGGAGGCCGCCCCTCCCACTGTAACAGGAAGCAGGAGTTAGTCTCCCAGTATGGTGGCAGAAGGGGAGGGACTTCCTGTTTGAGGGTTGGTTTGTTCTCTGTGCAGAAGGAAACAAGGTCAGCTGTTGACCATGAAGGGGGTGGGGCAGGGTCATACATTAGAAAAGAGTCACAAAGGGGCTGAAACGGCCCCTGGGGAGACTGGGGTGGGGGGGGTGGGACTTCCCAGCTGCACTGAGGACCCAGTTGAGGCTGGACAGCAAGAATCTGGAGTGGCTCCAGCATGTGCGCTGAGAGCCTTTTATTCTCCTAGAACGTTCAGCAGCCCAGGGTGTAGGCATGAGAAAGGCAGGCAGAAGCGAACTGTGCTGGGCTGGGGTGCCAAAGGGCTAACGAACCAAGGTGCTGGCTGGAGGACATGAGACAGGACAGCCTCAGGAGGTGGAGCTGGGCAGGAGCCCGTGAATACAGTTGGGGCTGAGGGGGAGCCAGGAGAGGTGCTGGGGCCTGGGAGCCGTGCGCTGAACTGTGAGAAATAAATATCTGTTGTTTATAAGCCACCCAGTCTGTGGTATTTTGTTATAGCAGCCCGGGCTATGACACCCCTTCCCCTCCTCTTCTCCCCCTGGACATTCCTCCTCTCCTGGCATCCAGGACCCCTCCCTCCCTCCTCGGGGTCTCCTCCTACCACTCAGAGCACTCCTTCCTTCACAGGTGACATTTCTGAGGCTTTGGTGCTTGGCCCCTGCTCAGGAGCCCTAGACTCCTTTGGTGATTTCATCCCCTCCCCCCAAGGCTGCAACCACCACCCAGCACGCCGCTGGGCCCCAATCGCAACCCCCAACCTGACCTTTTTCTGAGCTCCAGAGCTTTGTCTTCCCCACATAGGGTCCTCAAATGCAACAGGTTAAAACTAAATTCCTTCCCTCCATGTTCACTTTCTGAAGACGAAATGTGACCTAAAACCCCTTGGTGCTATCACACTGCCTCCATAATAGAGTCTGGACTTTTGAATTAACATACAATGCTACTTGCCATTAGTCCTCTAAGTGGCAACCGTACTTTGAGAGATGACCCCGACCTGACCCCAACCCACCAGCGAGCCTGCCCTCCCTTCCATAGTCATGGAGCAGCTATTATGTGATGGCCTGGTTCTGCAGATCCAGGTACGCCCAAGATCCTCATAGCCCCTGCTATCATGGAGCCGATGGCTACACACATCCTGAATAAGAAATTGAAGTGTGCTGAGGGTTAGAAAAATGGAAGTGCACAGAACCACAGCACAGGGAGACCTCTGCACATCTGGAAAGACCTCCCTGAGGAAGTCACATTTAAAGTGTCATAAGAAGGATGGGGGAGTGGTTAGCTATGCGGGCAAAGACTCTGAGATAACACTGGGATGTGCTTAAGAAACTGAAAGAAGCCTCACACAGACAGCTGGGACCTGGGAGATGTGGCGAGACAGGAAGGAAAGGACCCATGGGTGGAGGGCTGTAGAGGCCTTGTCAGGAATCTAGATGTCCCTGATTTAAGAGCTGTACATTTAGAAGGTCACTCTGGCCATCATGTGGAGATGAGCTTGAAGGGAAGCTCTACAAAGTACCAGCAAAGTGAAGCCAGCAGCATATTGAGGTGATTATATACCATGGCTAAGTGGCATTTATCCCAGGAACGTAAGGGGGTATAGGAGATTCCTAGGGCTACAGTAAACAAGTACCACAAACTAGGGGGTTTAAAACAACACAGATATATTCCCTCACAGTCCCAGAGGCTAGAAGTCCAAGATCAAGGTGTGGGCAGGGTTAGTTCCTTCTGGAGGCTCTGAGGGAGAATCTGTCCCAGGCATGTCTCCTGGCTTCTGGTGGTGGCCGGCAATCCTTGGCACTGCTTGGCTTATAGCTGCATCACTCCAGTCTCTGCCTTCATCATCACATAGCCATCTTCCCTCTGTGTGTGTCTATGTCTCTACACGGCCTTCTTACAAGGACACTATTCATTGCATTTAGGGCTTACCCTAATCCAGTATGACCTCATCTTAACTAATTACATCTGCAAAGACCCTATTTCCAAATAAAGTCATATGCTGAGGTTCTAGATGGACATGAATTTTTGGGGAGATGCTATTCAACCCACTACAGTGGTCAGCATATAAAAATCAGTCAGTGTAATACACATTAAAGGAATGAAGGGGAAAAAAAAATACATGATCATCTCAATTGATGCAGAAAAGGCCTTTGAAAATTCAATACCTTTTCATGATAAAAACACTCAACGAGCTAAGGATAGAAGAGAACTTCCCTAACCTGATAAGGGTATGTATGAAAAACTCACAGCTAATACACTGGATGGTGAAAAACTGAAAGCTTTTCCCCTAAGATTAGGAACAAGACAAGGATGCCAGCTTTCACCACCTCTATTCAACACTGTACTAGAGGTACTTGCCAGGGAGTAAGGAAATAAGAAGAAATAAAAGGCCTCCAGATAGAAAAAGAAGAAGTAAAACTATCTCTACTTGAGAATGACGTGATATTATACATAGAAGAGCTAATAAGGACGTGGACAGATAAATACTCTGTCTGTTTCCTGGACACATCCACTGCTATAGTTAAAATCATTTAGACATGCAATCTGGTGTCCTGCTTCTGTCTCTTCCGCACAGGATGAAACACAATAAACTGCCCTTGCACTGTTGGATGTTTAGAAGATGGCATCTGTGAACAGAGCTTTTCTTCTGTTTTCTGTCTCCTCGGGATAGTACCACAGTGGTGACAAGAAGTATGCAGAGGTGTAGAACGTCATGGGGAGCGAGGGGAACTGACTAATGAAGGATGGCTCCCCGTGGCAGCCTGGAAAATGCCCCCCAAAAGATGTCCACATCAAATCCCTGGCAACTGTGAATGTGACCTTTTTTGGAAAAAAGGTCTTTGCAGATGTGATTAAGTTAAGGATCTTGAGAGGAAGAGAGAACCGTGGATTATCTTGGGTGGGCCCTAAATGCCATCGTGAGTATCCTTAGAGGAAAGAGGAAGAGGAGATGATGCGGAGATACATAGAGGAGAAGGCCACAGAGGTAGAACTGGGGCGCTGCGGCTACATGTCCAAGGCAGCCAGCAGAAGCTGGAAGAGGCAAGGAACGGGTTCTCCCCCGGAGCCCTTAGGGGGAGCACAGCCCTGCCAGATTTCGGACTTCTGGCCTCCAGAACTGTGAGAGAATGAATTTGTGTTGTGTTAAGCCACCCAGTTTGTGGTAATTTGTACAGCTGCCTCAGGAAACTCATACGCTACCCATCTTCCTCCCTGCCCTATTCCTCTCCCAGTCTTCCCCATCTTAGTAACCAACACCATTGACCTGCCAGGCCCGAAACCTGGGAGGCGAGCTTATCAGCATCCTGTACTGAGTTCTGAGGATGCACCCGGCCCTGTGCTGAGGCCCTTATGTGCATTCTTCTCACTTTACTCCTTAAGCCCTCTACACGAGACACTGTTGCCATCTCCCATTTTAACAGAAGAGGAACCTGAGGCTTATGGAGAGGTTAAGTAACTTGCCCAGGGTTCTACACAGCACCAAGTGGCAGGATCTGGAGGGAAACCCAGGCATAACTGATTGCAAAGCCAAGGGTTCTCACTACCCTGCCTCTCAGGCCAATTTGGATACGCTGAGGTTGTTAGCCGGGAGACAGCCAAATGGAGATGTCAACCAGACGATGGGATGGAAATTCCCTCTTGCCCTCAGGAAGGATCAAGTTGGGATAGAAACTTGGATGTCAAACTCCACATACAGAGAGTGTTTAAAGTCATAGCATCAGAGGAGATGGCCCAGGAAGACTGTGCAAAGTAGAAAAGAGGAGACCCCAGACTGAGTCAGAGGAGCACTGTCATTTGAAGGTTGGGAAGAGGGAGAGGAACCAGCGAAGGAGATGGAGCTGGCCAGGCGAGAGAGAGAGAAATCCAGGGGGTGAGATGTCATGAAAGTCAAGAGAATGAAACAGCCCACTCAAATGTCAGTAACGATGACAGCTAACTTGAATCAGATGCTTTCTCAGAGACAGGCACTGCCCTAGGCCCTTCAGTATTTCCTCATTTACCCTCTACATCCACTCCAGGAAGTCAGCGCAACGTCATTCCCATTTTAGAGACGAGGCAATCATTGTCTAGAGAGATGAGGTAACTGCCCAGGGTCATGCAGCAGACAACCAGGTCCTTCTCCACTCTCTCAGAGCACGCTTTGTTCCCCCATGCCACATGGCTAGCCACTTGGCAGTTGTGCGCCTGCTTGTTCAATATGCATCTCTCCCCAGTGCCAAGCAAGTGCCTGGCACAGAGCAGGCACTGAAGGACTTGGGGGGAAATGGCAGGTCTGATGGCTTGTTTGCTCTTCAAAGTAGAAGGTAATGTCTGCTCTCGAGAGTGAGGCGGGGGAGGTGGGAGGCTGGCTTTTTGGAGATTGTGGTCAACAATGGACTAATCACTGAGGAAAGAGACACAAGCTGCCAGGACAAAGAAAGCCTCCTAAGCACTGCTGAGGGGTTCCCGGGGGGGGGGGGGTGGTGACCAGCCCTGAGATGTCTTCCTTCTGGCCATCCTTGTGAATGACACGCTCTGGCACACTGGTGGAGAGGCATTCAACATGCTGTCTAGAAGGCCCTGCCCGCCTCTTCCCGCTAACCATGCAAAGCCAGCTCCAAGGCCGCCTCCTCCGTGAAGCCTGGCCCAACTTCACAAGCAGGGCTCTCCCGGCTCCCCCAGCACACTGAGCTGACACTCCCATACAGAGCACCCCACTGGGTCCATCTTGGTGTCTCCCCTCGGCACCTTGCCCCCAGCAGGTGCTCATTACAGGTGTATTACCCAAGTGTCATTTTACAAGTAGGCATGAGATGGGAAGGGCTGTCACCACCTTCCTGATACCTGAAATTACCTGTGGAGGGGGCCAAGTCCTCTGACTGCCAAATGCCCACCTGCAGCCCACACTGTTGGAAAGTCACTCATGAGAAATAGAAATGACCCAGTTCAGAGCCTTTTCTATTTGGAGAGAGGGTACTGGAGGCCTGCCCTCATAGTTGTCACTAGGTATGAAGGACCCTGTCCCCTTCAGCTAGTGGGGACCAAATGGGAGCTGTCTGCAGATACTGCCGCTCCATGTGATTTACGGAAACTTTGTATATTTGCCTAGTTTCACATAGTTGACTCCATTCTAACAGAGCTTCAGACCAGATATGAATTACTCAAGCAATCACCATATTCCATAGGTTAAAGGGACTTCCAAGGGCCTCACAATCATTTCATTAAAATACTTACTTGATTCCTTAGGTGATAATTCTCTTACTAGGTCTTTGCTTAATTGATTCAGCAGACAGGATTATGGAGAAGCAATGAGAGAGACAAGATTCCAAGCCACTTGAGACACTGCACATAGCCCAAGAGCTATACACCAGGGAGGGATAGCTATGGGTACTCCGAAAGATTCCACCTTTAGGTAGGGAGGAATTCAATGGGCTATTCAAACTGCATAATGATTTACAGAGAGTACATAAGAAAAGATCCATTGTTTCGGTAATGTTATCGAGAATGTACCTTGTTGGTATCAGCAACACTGTTCTGTCGGGCATCAAAGATGATAAGTTTGTGAGACTGTGCATTAGCATCCATTATTGTTTGCAAGTATTTTTCATCTTCTTTGCAGCGTTTATCATTGGGACCCACAAGTGGCTGGCTGCAACGGGTAATCGTTGCCTGACTTTCTGGATGAATCCATGACAACACCTAGTATTTGTAAGCAACAAATATTAGTACAATTCCTAAAACGATATGTTCCTTAATTACCAGGTAGGAAAAACAAGTTCTCTTCTCAAGCACAGCATCTTCTGCATCTTTTCCTCAAAGGTCAGAGGGTCAGGCCGATCACAACATGATAGTGACCATGGGACTCAATGTTTGGGTCCCGTTGAAGAAGTCTGACTAGATGAGCTCTAAAAACTCCTTCTACCTCTAAAATTCTATGATTCTAAGAAAAACAGAAACAAAGTCAACCTATTACTAACATCGAGCCCCATTCCTATTTGATTGACTAGTTTTATTTTGTCTCCTAATTTAAAAACATCTTTGTATCTCAACGATGACCTATGTGGCAGGGCGAGGGCAAAGTGAACATAGAGTCCCTTATAAAATCTAAAGCTATGCCCCCAAACCTCCCATTTTCCTTCAATGGCCAAGGGCCTCAGGCGTATACCAGACCACAAACTCTGGGCTCATAAACGTTCATCCCCTCCTTGATTGCGGTGATAGGATCACGGGTGTATACACATGTCCAAATGCATCAAATTGTATACATTAAACCTGTGCGGGTTTTGGTATATCAATTATACCTCACTAAAGCTGTTTTTAAAAAACTCCCCCCTGCTGGCTGCTGTGTTCATTTTTCTAATGGTGTCCCCCATGCAGCTGTAGCATTCCACTCAGCATCTAAGAAAGAGTGTATTTTCTCTAGGATGATTAGGTGAAGCCAGTGATGTGAACTGTTAATGCAATAGCACGCTAACTCTTTCTTGCTACTCCTTTGTTACTCTCTACTACATTTTGAGAGCATAACTGAAGTCAGCCTTATACTTAGTAACATGAAACCACACAAGCTGGAGTCACAGAAAACAGAATGTTTATATAATTAGGCAGTTCTTGAGAATCAAAGATATGTTCAGGTTTTTAGGCTTATCTTTCTACTTTCCATTTTGTTCACTAGATTTTTTTATGTCTTGCTTCTTTCCATATTAGATCTAATACAGTATATGCTTATACCTAAATGACAATGTTTATTACTTACAGGGACTCTGCCTTTTGCTCGAAAGGCTGCCACTTTTGAAAGGTCATCATCTTTTACACTAGTTGGCACAACAATGATGGCAGGGTAGGTGTCACAGAGCTCATAATTACTGTTTACTTTGGATATTTTCCAACTCTCGTTTGGCAAGCCCTGCAGGGTGTTACAGAAGAAAGCGTGGGAAAAGCACACTTTTACACTTTCCAAAAGGACCAAGCATGAACCACATGCATTTATTAATTTCTACTAAAATCCACTTATAATTTGTTGTTCATTGCTACTTAAAAATTTAAATATAGATTTATCTAATATAATCCATCTCCTGCCCATTTAAAAAAATCTAATGCAGCATAAGAATTTCCAAACATACTAAAAAATGAAAATTATATACTAGAATCCCAGTCCTACACATTTCTTGTCATGTTTTTTATAAAGAATAAGCATAGTGTTGTTTTTGAAAATACCACTTTAGAGACAGAGAAACTTCTTACAATGTCTAAAATAAGTAATATAAATCACCATACCAAATATAAGGTAGAGACAAAGATTAAATGTCATGAAAACAATATCTTATTGGAATGTCTTGAAATTGACAATGCACTAAAGACCTTCTAGGTATAGGAACACCGTATCAGACTGACGAGTCATGCCATATACAGTCATCCCTCAGTATCCTCAGGGGATTGGTTCCAGGACCCCCAGATACCAAAATCCGTGGATGCTCAAATCTCTCATATAACATGGCATAGTATCTGCATATGACCTAGGCACATCCTCCCGTATACTTTAAATCATCTCTAGATTACTTATAATTCCTAATACAATGTAAATGCTATGTAAATAGCTGTTATACCGTATTGGTTAGGGAATAATGACAAGAAAAAAAAGGTCTGTACATGTCCAGTACAGACGCAACCATCACAGGCCTTTTGATCTGTAGTAGAATGCGCTGATGCAGAACCCGTGGATACAGAGGGCCGACTACACTTAAAATCTAATTTAAGCCATTGGTTCTGATCCTTACTCATCAACTCAATACCAGAATATCTAATAAAGACCATCTGGCCGATTTGCTTTTTAAACCCGTCTTGTACTCCACTTATCCTCTGGACAAAGGGCGAATAAACAGTGGCATAGTCAAAGGTTTGGCATAGGGAGAACGGGGCATCCCTGGGATGAAGAACCTACCAGCCAGGTAAGTTATACCTATGTACAACTTGTTTCAAAAGGTTTCTTCTCCACTACATTTTCTAAACTTTTAGAAAAGAAAAAGACACTCAACCTATTATTTTCAGTTTGATAAATAACATACTTTACCTGTCTCTTATATTCAGATACTGGATCATAAACTTTCCATCCATTAATTGGAAATTTTTCTTTATAGTTGAATGCAAAGAGTGTCTGGATACACAAAACACAAAATACATATGTTAGTACTTCCGTGCTATGTCATATACCCAATATCAAAGCTTTTCATTCAGTTATGAGCTGAATGTATTAAGATTCCTATTTTAATCTGTAAATTTTGAAGCAAAAAATTGGCAGTTTTCTTAACCATTACACACAACTGACAAATTTTAAATATTCTAATATTAGTTACCAATAGAGAGAAAAGCGATAAAGGAAACCTCTGGGAAAAGAATAATTAAACATGAAATTTTTGTATGCCACAAAGGCATACAATAAAGGCTTATTTTGAGGCTGGCCCGGTGGTGTAGTGGTTAAGTTTGCGGGGTCCACTTCGGCAGCCTGGGGTCTGCTGGTTTGGATCCCGGGTGCGGACCTATGCACCACTTACCAAGCCATGCTGTGGGAGGCGTCCCACATATAAAGTAGAGGAAGATGGGCACGGATGTTAGCCCAGGGCCAATCTTTCTCATCAAAAAGAGGAGGATTGGCATCGGATGTTAGTTCAGGGCTAATCTTCCTCATAAAAAAAAATTTTAAGGGCTTATTTTGGTGTACCTACCTGTCCACTGGAAAGAGGAAATGCATGTTTGTTGAGGTTCTCAAATATCCCCAGTTTGCTCTGTTCTTCCTGTTTATAAGCAAGTCGCAAGTTCCTCATATCCTGTTAAACAATTAGCAAAATTCATTTGTTCAACGTGTATTGAGTACCTGTGAGACAGACCCTAGGCTATAAAGAGATAAAATATTTTTATTCATTTCTCATGTTATACATTATCTTGCTGCAACTAACAAAAACACCTCCAACAAGACAAAAAAAATAAAGTGAGGAAATTGGAATAAAGGGGATGCGTTGGGGAAAAAAACTCATCAGATGGAACCAAGCATAAGGTTAATACATGAAAGACGTGCCATCAATTCCTGTGCACTTACTTGCTAAAGGTGTGCCACAAAATCCGTTGTGAACTTTAAACTGCCAGAAGTGTCAATTACAGGTTTCACACCACCCATAAAATAGAACTGTCACAGAGGTTTCTCCCCTGTACTCATAGCAAGGACTCTGTATCATGTAAAGACTATGGCTCTCAGTGACTTCCTTACAGAAATTATAATGCTGTTTCCTAAGATCACAGTTTCTTAAAACACCCGTCATGCAAGCTGCTGGCTGAAAGCTCCAGCACAAGTCAGCAGGAGCCATCCCAGCGAGGTGGCTCTAACCGGGCGACGTCCTCCCGGGACTGGCTGGAGCAGTGCCCCCCAACATTTTAAAACCTATGCCATTAGTTAAACACAACAATCTCATTCTTCTCTAACATTACATGAAATTTCGAAATAAATATGGCCACAAACAAATTAAAGCAAGAGCAATTTGGGAAGTGCGGAAGCTACTGTGGTGATATTATTTATAACAGCAAAAGAATGGCAAGAGCCTAAATGTCTGTCAACAGGAGCTGGTTAACTGAACTACAGGACAACTAATGGAATACTAAAGAGCTGTTAAAAATAAGAAGTAGCTCTTTATGTACTGATATCAAGGAGTTCCAAGATACACTGTTCAGGGGAAAAGAAAGGGGCAGAACAGTCTAAATAATACACAACCATTTACATTTTCCGAGACTGTACCTACATGCTTATGTGCATAGGATGTGTGTGGAAATGGGAACAGTGGGTGCCCGCAGGGAGTGGAACAGGGTAGCTGGGGGTTGGGTAGAGGGAGACTTACTTTTTCCTCCACACAGCTTTCGTACCTTTTGAATTGTGTATGACCTGTTTTAAAAAAACAAACCCCACACCTTGCAAGGCTCTCAGATATGAGCTGAGGGCTGGGAGCATGGCCCTAGTATTCTGGAAAACATTTTAAAGCTGCTATTAGAAAATGATCACCCCAGCCATAAAAATATCTTAGTAAAACAGCCACAGGACACCTAACTAAGTGACATAACTTCCTGGTACACCCTCCCTCCAACCTACACTGGCTACACATGTACACCTTAGTAGCTGATTGATCTGACTTGCTATTTAGGATTGCTTGGAGAGAAAAGCGTTACAAGCAAAGGAAAGAGTATGTGTGAAGTCCCCAGTGTGTGTGTGTGTGTGTGTGTGTGTGTGTGTGTGTGTGTGTGTGTGTGTGTGTGTGTGTGTGTGTGTGTGTGTAGAGGATGGTACAAGGCAAGTGTGAGAAACTAAAGGAACTGGAATGGCAACAATGAGGGGAGGGTGGCTGGAGATGAAGCTGCCGAGGAAAGTAAGTCAGGCTTAGATGGCGGGGTCTGGATAAGGGGTTTCCCCTCTAGCCTAAGGATGATGGGAAGCCACTGAAGAGTTCTGAGTAGGGAAATGACAGAACCGATCGATCACCCTCTGCTTTAAGTGTTGCAATTGCTCCGCACTGCTTCACGCGTGGAACACTGGCCTGAGAAGGACAACTACAATTGATCAAAGGAGAGCACTGCCATGTAGTGCCCAAAGGGAGTCTAGTAAGCCAGCAGCTTCATGACCTGGAAAAGTAAAGGGTTCTTTGAAAAAGTGGATTCAACTGTAGTCTAGGGCTGACCAGAGGGAGCTGTCCTCAAAGACTTGATTAAAACAAACAGACAGAGGGCCAACTCCAGTGGCCTAGTGGTTAACTTCAGCACTCTCTGCTTCGGCAGCCCAGGTTTGGTCCCTGGGTGCAGACCTACACCACTCTGTTAGCAGCCATGCTGTGCTGGTGGCCCACATACTAAAAATAGAGGAATATTCGCACAGATGTTAGCTCAGGGAAAATCTTCCTCAGCAAAACAATAACAACAAAGCAAACAGATGGGCAAGAATCCACACCCCAAATTTGGAAGGGACCTCGATGATCCTGCAAGCAGGCTCTCTTTCCTGGTACCCTAGGTAGGGTTGTGAATAAACTGTACTCCATGAGGGAAAGTCATGGGGAATAAAACATCAGTTAAGGCGTTTCTTAAATGACTGGTCATCATTAAAGTTATCACACACGTTTCTACTTAACCTGTTGGAGGAAGGGTACAAAACCAAAATAAGCACAGCTCGGGTGAAAATCCCAACATAGCCAACAAACTTAATCGTATTTTAATCACAGTATTTATGAATATTGTTGTCCCTTTAGGAAGCCTTTGACCATCTACTGAAAGGTAGTCTTAAAATTACAAACTGGAAAAAATATCGATCTGTGTTTTCCATTTGATTTCTCTGAAATGTAACAAATAGTGTCAGCACTCAGGTGATAGGTCCATGTTAATTAGAATACTTCAATAGGAAAGAAGAGGTTTACTTCACCGGCTTACACAATGGTAGGAATTGGTTGATGTAAGATCTGAAGAGGTCTCTGTCCTGAAAACATTTGAGTTACTAACAGTACAAATTACTCTGACTGTCCAAAAACCATGAAGAATGCACCAGAAAAAGTTCCCAGCTGACTGTCCCCTTCAGTTCCACTTGTGTTTGTACCATACCTTGCACACAATCTCTATACCACAAGAATTGTCCCCATGGCTCTGCGCACCAATCTTCTCAACTCTGCTGATCACTCCCAGGGGAACATCAAGGACGAAATGCGGGTCCTGGGTTTACAAATTAAGATGAATGCCTATCAGTGTCAGTCCACAGAGTTTTCATATTGTAAGTCTTTACTGGCTTAAAACACACGTTTGTTTACTTCACAGTTGCTCTTTGTCCCAGATAAGAAGCTGCAGTCTGTTTTAAACATGCTTTATGAAGTAGATGGCGGACTTTAGTGAAATTCCCCTGCAGGGTTAAGTGCCACTTTCTCAGCCTTTTCATTAAGATACAAAATCTGTCTGCAAATGTGTGCATCTTAAAACCCACCCTTCGGCAGGGTGATGGGATTTCATGGTGCTTTTTACCTGTTCTTTATTGTTTACTTTCTTCTGAAGTGTTTTGAAAAATAAAACACACTTTTAAAAACTCACCCTCTCTACATTTTTGAAGTACATCTTGAAGTCGGTCACTGTCAGGGTTCCACTCACTGCTCCCATAAATGGGCAGATATACATGACATCCTTCACTGAAAGAAAAAACCCAAAGTAGCAACGACTGCCGTTGACTTGTGTTTCAATAAATCTTAACATGAATCTCCAAATACATATATTTGTGATTCCAGTTTTCTAGCAATTTTAAATTTTTTATTACTTTAAATAAAGATATAGATGGATAGTCTTCTAACAACATTCTATTTGTTAACATAAAATTCTGATTTGCTACATAATGAAGTTTTAAGTAAAGATCCTCATAGTAAGTTACATTTTGTTATTTTTTTTTCCAGGTGGTTAACATCTTCCTTGAGTGATAAATTAATCACATTTGAAAACACATTAAACTCTGAAGACCCAGGGCTGCCATTTCATAAATTACTGCTAATAAAAACTAACTAAAGCTAAACTCTGTCCCCTACACACCTCGAAAGGAAACTGCTTTACAGATGACAAAAACCAGAACCATATCAATGAGGTGGAAAAAGACTTCGTTGCTTCAAATTCCTTATCAGCTTCCATATCAATTTTTATTTTCTTGTTGTTAATACCAACATATTTAATATCGATATCAATAACATGTTTGATTCCTATGAGTGTTAAGAAGCTCTATCACAAAGATACCACATCTTCACGATCTTCCCAAAGTGCCATTCTATTGAAATGACAGGAATGTACACAGCTACAGACCAGTCCGAGTGGGATAATTAAAGGTACTAAAAATGTCTTTCAGCCAAATTCTCAAAACACTTCCATTAAACTTTTCTATAATTCATTATGTACTGAGTAGCCTCTACTGTTGGGGTTCTAGGTATGACGGGACATGGTTCCTGCCCACAGGAGACACTACACAGAAAACTATCATTACACCATAGCCTGATAAACGCTATTATAACCATGTGGACATGATGTGATAAGAGCTCAGAAAAGGATCGACTTAACTCAGCAGGGAAGCAGAGGGGGAGGCGGAGAAGGAAGAGAGGAAAGAGAGGTCAGCGAGTTGCAGGAGGTTAGTGTGGATGGATCAAAGGGTGCAAAGGATGATGGGGCATGAGGCCAGAGAAGATCTGTTCGTGAATGTTCATGGCAGTTTTATATGTAATAGCCAAATAGTAGAAACAACCCAAATATCCATCCATCAATAGATGAATGGATAAGCAAACTGTGGTGTATGCATACAATGGAATACTATTCAGCAATAATAAGGGAAGATTATTGACCCATGCCACCATATGGATGAATATCAAAATAATTATGCTGAATGGAAGAAGCTAGACAAAAGAAGAACTTACTAAATGATTACATTTCTACAAAACTCTAGAAAATACAAACTAGTCTTTAGTGCTTAGGAAGGGGGGAGAAGGCACAGGAGGGAGGGATTATAAAGGGGCCTAAGGAAACTTCTGGGGGGTGATGGATATGTTCATTATCTTGACTGTGATGATGGTTTCCCAGGTGTATAATGTGTCAAAACTCTTCACATTCACTCTAAATTCTTGTAGTTTGTTGTCTGGAGAAGAAGCAGAGGCATGATATAATTAGCTCTGAATTTTAATCAGATCATTCCCAAAGCAGCAGGGAGGCAGCCCTAGAAGAACTCCTAGAAAAAGGACAGCCAGAGAGGTCAGAGGACCACCAGGAGTGAATGAAGTTCCAGAAGCCAAAAAAAGAAAGAGTCTCAAAACCGAGGTGAGAATGAGCAGGGTCCAGAGCCACAGACCAGGACAGTCAGTGGGAGTAGTTGTCTGGAAGCCCTGGTAGGAGAGCCCAGCTACACAAACGTTCTTGACACAAGATGACCATACTCTCCAACGGAGCACACATCTTTGGGAGGGAACTTTGAGGGAAAAAGGCAACACTCAGCCTAGCAAATCAGACTGTCCAACCCAACCTTGGCAATTGTGAGGTGAGAAGGTCGCACTCAGCTGCCCTCCGGACCACCCATGGCACAGTGGACTACCTGCTGAAATGCCCAGCAGTCCACGGTGGGGGGATGTGGGAATGGCTCTTACAATCCAGGGTGGCAACGCATGCCCTTTTCTTGCACTTAAATTGTACTTTCTGGAATCTTACAAGCCACTAAAATTTCTTTGCCAAGTTCTCAAAACTGTATTTAAAATATGATCTGGATCTTCCATCGATATATTTTCCTTATAGTGAAGGATTCCAACAAAGCAGTGAACTGACATCACAGTGTCTAATCAGCCTTCAGCCCATCAGGAAAAGTCAGGCCCCTCTTCTGTTGGTAATGCCACCTAATAAATGGAGCTTGAAGTGATCTTCTATAGTCGTCTCTCTCTTAAGGTCATGACGACATTAATAAGAATGAATATGCCTAGTCCATTTGTCCTATAATTAAATTGGTCTGGCTGATCTCCAGCACATGCATCATCTGTGCTCACAAGTAAAGTCCCGTTTCATTTTATGGCTCTCTATAAGCAAAGTGTACTCATTAAACTTACCAATGGCCTTGATTGACTCTCCTGGAAAAAGCGGGGCTTCTTCCATCTGTGCCAGCTTATTTCCATCCCTTAGAGCCTGGCAAAAAATCAAACAGGAGTAAAACTCACTTTCCATCTGTATACCTGGGAAGAATTGTGGTGTTCTGTGCTCTTGCGACAAGGCTACAGAAGCATGCACAATGTACGCCCTCCTCCCCTTACGAGACAATTTCAAAGCTCAGCATCACAGGACACCACACTGCATATTCTAGCAAATTGTTACACATATTTAAAGTTCACAGTTAGAAAGCATTAATACAGAAATGGCTTGACATGACAGATAGATACTGTAATCACTACACAGACACCTATTATAAGGTGCCTCCAGAATTTGGAAATAAAGTCAAGGAAAAGGTTACCTTCTGAGCATGAAACTAACACAAATAAAATCAACATTAGATGTGGGTGCTTAGCTAGCTGTATGTAGAAATGGCCCAGCCTATGAGATAGTTTGTCAAACCCAAAGTATAATTAAAGTAACCAGGGAGGAGTCTTAGGGCAGTAAAGCCCTAGGCTTTTGTACTGCAGCCCAGCTCCCTGGGTTTGCACAAAGCATGGGAGGGGGGACATGATGAGTGGCCTTGTCAGGGTGTATCCCACCCAGACCACAAGAGTGCACCCTCATCTGGCAGACAAGAGTATTTCAATCACTACTGTGGAGCAGGGTGTCTTCACCAGGCTTCTCCCAAGCCAATTCACCCTTTGCTGATGCCACTCTCACCAAGCAAATTGCTAACGAGGTATCAGGTTTCCTGGCTACAGTGATACTAGGAAAAGGATGTCTTAGATGGCTGGAAAGATACATGCCCACATTTCTGAATGTCCTAGTAGCCAGTAGCCAGTCCCTTGTAAGCTTGGTGGAATAGTGCCAGATAACTCAGGGGAGCTGAAAAAATGGTGTTCTCTAACTACAAAGCTGGGGACCAGGGCCTGAACTCAGGGCCTATTCCAAGGTACTGCCACCCTGTGACATGCTGCCAAGGAAATGTCACTTTCTCCTTGGCATCTCTGACATAATGTGTCACGAATAAGAATAAGGTGTTCAAAATCCCAGCAGTTCCCAAGCTGTGGTTCACAGAGCATTAAATTCCCAAGAGATGTGAATAGGTCTTTTTTTTTTTTTTAAGTTTAGGAAATGCTGGGTTAAAGAAAATAAACTTTTTTAGTGAGTCAAGTCTTTAGCATGTTAATGTACACTGAATCCGCAAGAGGGCGCTATAGTATGCTGCATTTCCTGTACCTAGTTGATCAGGGGCTGCTTTCTCCAAAAAACACCTGTTAACATCGGGAGGCCACCAGAGTTCAGCCAGAAACAGGTTGGACAATACTATGTTTTCAGCATAATTTTGTGAAGCAAAATATTAAAAATGAATATATTTTATAATTCTAAGCTAAATTATTGAAATTCAAAATAATTATTTTTAATAGTTATAAGAATATTTCAATATGTTTTATTAAAGGGGCTTACAGGTCAATTTAAAAACACTATACATAGTAGTTTCATCAAATTTTATAAAATAAAGAGAGGAAAAAAGTCAAAATATGAAGAGCAAATTCAATGCCAAATGTTGGTCAAGGTATGTCTGTTCTAGAGGGAGGGCACAAAAGGACGAGGTCCATTCTCTCCTTCTCAAGACACATGGTTAAAATAATACAGATTAGAGTTCATCGTTACCTCCAGACAATTTTATTCAGTTTGAATTTTTAGTCCAGAATGGCTTTTAAGATACTTTTCAGCCAAAATTTTTAGGGATATGGAGAACTGTTAAAGGGCATGTGGAGAACGGTTAATGGAGTCATTTTTATACTCACACCTGATTTGGAAATATATCTTTTATGTAATAAAGCATAAACCAATATTTATACTTTTAAATGTCCAGTTTTAGAAACACTAACAAAATCACCAATCCTAATAGAAGCCTTAATTTGAAAATATGCTTTCTTTAATTTATTGCCTGAACTAGTGACATTTTATAATATAGTTACAAAGTGAGAAGGCTACTTTAATCAATATCCAAGTTTCAAACTACTTCAAATGGTACCATTGTTAAAGCTTATTTTAATGGCTAAATATTATCATATATTATATACACTTAAATTCCTTAACTTATATTTAAAAATAAATAGGGACAGGTTATTTTGAAACATATTTATTAAAGCAAGCTGTTCTAATCACCTGACTGTGGAAGGGGTGGGGGAAATGCGATTCACTTGAAGCCTTACAGCAAGGCCACATCAAACACTCTAAAGGCCTCAACCCAGGACTAGCTAATAAAATGTTGCAGAGGGGAGACAGCGTGGATTGGGACCGTTCTGAGAATATACAAGGCTCTCAAGATAGACGGAAGATCAAACGTCTCTCTTCTCTTCTGACTGTCACGTTCAATTTGGCTTGAAATAACTGCACATGTTTATGAGGCATGAATGTGCTGGTGAGACATGATGGGACAAACCTCTCACTAATAATAATTAAGTCTGGGACACGCTTTTAAGTGATGAAAAAAGCCACATCAGAACAAAACAAATAAATGATCCCACTGCTTCAGATTTCCCCATGAAAGGTTTATTTTGTACAAGATACACATTTATTGTGCACAGGAAAGACCCCCTAGCTTCAGCACAGGAATTCAAGAGGAGAAGAGTTCTTAAAGGCTCGTTGTCTTGTGAGTACAGTAGATTCCCTTTACAAAGCTGGTGTTAGGAGATGGGACTTACACTTCTGCGAAGCTTTGACTGCAACTACCAAGTTGCACAGGACATGATTTGACCCTTGATTTATCCAACCCATGTCCAGCATAATCAAAGAATGGAATATTCTTGTGAGGGTAATTTGATCTCATGAACACGCCCATTCCTGTTAGGGCCTTTGCTCTAAGTGTTGCCCAGTTGAAGAATTCCCTCTGATGATCTCATCCAAAGCCTGTTCTGGTGACCCTGAAGGTCCAGCTGCAGGCCCACCGGCTCCCTGAATTTGTCCCCAAGGGCTCCAGCCCACCAGACGGCCCTGGCCTCTCCACTACTTTACTGTACCTCCTGAATCTACGCTGCTGGGTGGACAGTTTCTGTAACAGCTGCAGGCCAAAAGCAGTGGTTTGCAAATTGCGCTCTTTGAGGTGCTTCCAGGGTCACCAAAGGAGGGTGGGCTGGGCAAAGACACAGCTGAGCATGGGAGGGTGGGGTGGGCTGCCATGCTTCCCGGGAGACGCTCTTCTAGAGGTTCCACATACTGAGTATCTACATAAGCGTTGGGGAAAGGTCTGCTGTTTTAAAAGACTCCGGAGGGTCTAGAGGTACTGAGCAAAGAGTAAGCACTCAAGAAGACTCAATGAATGATTTTTTTCTTCTGATTAATAAATACAAATTATATAGACCCCTTCTACAAATACCTACAAGGTACCAGGTACTGTGCTGGGCACGGACCACACAAATTGGAATAAAGCCAAGTCTGTACCCTCAAGGAGCACCCTTAGCATACGTCTGTTCCCTTGAAGTCTTTATAAAGGCATTTCAGAATCCTGTCGTGACTGAGGCTCATTACCTCACCAACAACCCTATGTGGGAAAACTGAGAGCACAGATGAACAAATTTCTGGTTGAAAAAATGTTGGATAAACCAATTTTTGCAAATAATGTCATAATGGAATCTACCAAACTGGGACAGGAGGGCACTACTGTAGTGGTAAAAGCATTTGCTTATCGTCTAGAAATCTAGTATGAAATGGCTTCTAAATACACGATCTGTAGCTACAAACAGATGAACACGTAGAACTTGCCACCTGATCAGCTTCAGCTTCAGAAGGGTAGCCATTGTGTTCTTCCTGAATCTCCTGCACAGCACCAGGTGCATGGACAAGAAAAGGCAAGAGGAGAAAGAGAAACACGTGCAAACAGACAGGTGAAAGGACAGAAGTTGTTTTTTAAAGAGACAGTAAGCATGTAAAAGTCGACACACCTTTCATGGCTTTGCAAATCACAATATTTTCCCCCTTGGAGTTAAGGAAATAACGTGTAGGCCATCTATAGCATCCTCAGCCTAAAATGGAATTATGTATTCTGTGTTTGTGTTGGGGTAGAAAAATGAAAAGCAAACATCATAGATTTCAAAGAATGTACGGTCTTTTTAAAATCAAGCAATACTATAGCTTATAGCAACGAAACAAAATAACAGAGGCATAATATGCTCACAGAAAATAAAGCATATCACAGAAACCAGATAAAGGGCAAAATCAAGCCAAAACTGAACAGCAGTTCATAGACATGTATTTTAAATACAGTAAGTATTCATATACTCTAAAGAACTATCATATTGTCCAGGGGTCAACTCCACAGCTATTACCAAAATTTCCACCCACATGCGCATGCACATATCACATGCTGGAGATATACATATACATACATATGCATATACATACATATACATATAATCTGTTACTTATTGCTTATTGATAATTAAATATTGTGATTTATGAATCAATATCACTTAAATATTTCTAATTACAGTATCACCATGCTTTAAAGAAACAGCTAAAAGGTCACATATCTTTATTTAAATTTTTTCCAAATCTTTTAACGATATACTGTTCTTAACTTAATTTCTTCATAGAATCAACTAGATTTTGAAGCTTTAAAAATTGGACTTTTAGTTCAGCAGGTGGTATAAAGAATATGAATATTGAAGATGACAAGATTATAATCTCTTTTAAAGTTGTATCAAGTGTCTGAGCCTGAACATACTAAAATTTAGCACAGATATATTTTTCCTTCATGAAACTTTGGTTCCAATTACTATATTTCTTTAAAAGGCTATTAGTGAAGAAGTAGCAGAGGTTTAAAATAATTTACTATTTCCCACCCTTCATTTTTGTCAATAAAGTAAAAGAGCTACTTAACGCATTTTTGTAGTTTATCATCAGATTCAATTTAGTAAACAGTTGGTACTGCTACCCTTCAAAGCAGGGTAATTTTTTAAATGCAGCTAGTTTTTTGAAATTTCCATTTTTAAAAATAATTTTATTTATTTATTTATTTATTCCCCCAAAGCCCCAGTAGATAGTTGTATGTCATAGCTGCACATCCTTCTAGTTGCTGTATGTGGGACACCACCTCAGCATGGCTGGAGAAGCGGTGCATCGGTGCGCGCCCAGGATCCGAACCCGGGCCGCCAGTAGCGGAGTGCGCGCACTTAACCGCTAAGCCACGGGGCCGGCCCTGAAATTTCCATTTTTTAAAATACAAAGAAAATGGAGTCATCCTTTGATAAAATTTTTAAAAACAGAAAAATGAATGACTAAACAACAAAAAAACACACAGCATTTCCAAGTCCATGCAAGTGGAAAGCCAAACACTAATATTTAACAATGTGAATCAGTGAAAGAAAATGATTCCCACGACCAAAACAAAACATGGTAAATACAAGATTAAACAAAGATAAACCAACTAGAATAATAAGAACTTGACTTAACCTGCTGATTTTTGTACTACTTCATTGGCTTCAATGAGATTAAAACTTTAAAACTGAAGTCATTAAAGTATTCTGTCAAAATCCACATTGTTTTCATTTAATGGAAATAGGTTAATTTTCAGCATCTGATACTGAGGTTTAAATGCATGCACATTACCAATCTTTGTCTTGTTTTATGAAGGTGCTGAAATAAAGGGAAGGAAAATCATGAGGAAAATATAAGCTATACCCCACTCATTGCAACAGCTACATCTGTATTTCAATAAACACTAAATGGGACTGATTGTGCTAAATTTATCCTCAAGATTTGCACTTCTGCTTTTTGGATTCAGCATGCACACACGAAGGTGACTTGAAAGCTTACTTAGACAGATGGACAACAACTGACCGCTTTGTTGCTGTTGCTAAGTTCTTTAGCATGAATCACATGATAAACAAGGTTAAAAGAGGACTCTGTGGGCCTAGCCTTCCAAGCCCCTGCCACGAATATCCATTTGGTCAGAATTCACGTAACACAACAAAAGTCAGTATTGCACACTGGTAACAATTTTAGCATCCTGCCCTCACACACATTGGCTTTCATTGCACATAAAAACACTGTAACAAATAAAGCATTTCTAGTGAACACTTAAAGCTATGACACAGCAGAGCAAATTGATCTGAGTGACTCATAAAAACCAGTGAGAAAGTAAAGAACACTAAATAGACTAAGTGTTCGATAAGCACAGAGACAGACAAGCAGGAGGCTCATCTGCTGAAAGCCAAACATCCTTACCCTTATATCAGGCCTCCTGAAAACCTGTTAGTTAAAACAGAGAACATCATCATCACGGACACATTACTATTGACCTGTGAAACATGCCATTAAGTAAACCAGCCCATTCCCTAAGAAACATCATCAGCCTCTAAATACAACAAACCAGATCAATCCTAACACATTTGCCCTCTACGTTTCATTCCATATCAAATCAATCCTAACACATTTGTCCTATAATTTTCAGGCAAGTCTATGATTTGGCGAAATTTATCGCCCTTAGGCTAAGACAAACTACATTATTTTAAACACAAACCCCTTCTGTCAAGTGCTATTACAAGCCACTGTGAACAGGCTGTGTTTGAAAAGTTCATTTGTGTGTCTGTTTGGAATACTGAATGCATTCCCCATAGAAACAATGATATAAAAAGGCGGTTCTGCTCCCAAACCAGCCCACAGAAACAAAACAAAAAAGAACCAAAAAACCACAAAAGCTCCCACATTTGACCCAGAGCACAGCTCAGCTATAGCCTTAATGGTATCATAAAACCTAGTTAATCACAAATCTTAACCTGGTTTCTATAGAAATTATATTTCCAACTCGCACTTGGGACTCTGGAAGAATTAAACTCCCTGATGCGGCCGCCCCACCGAAAGAAGGGTGCCTGTCCCTCCCTTAGCAGCCCCCACATGGGGAAGGGGCAGCTCCAGGGAGGAAGAGGTAGCTGGCTGGTCTGGGAGGGCCGGGAGGAGAGGGGATGCCCTGCTGCTGCCCGGTGCAAAGGGGAAGCCAAGCTTTATGAAATTGGGACACTGATTTCAGCGACATTACTCCTCCACCCCTGGCCTGTGAATCCTACTTCAACATGCAGCGTATGCACTGGGGGGCCCTGGTCAGAGGAAACACCCCAGAAGAGATGGAACTTGTGAAAAGCAAATAGTGATAACAGTCTGAGCAAGACTTGAATCGTCTGTTCTCCATTCCAAAGTCTGAAATCCTATCATCTAACCACAGGATGTGCTATAAAAAACAGAGCATTAAAAAAAAACAAAATCATCGGAGGTTCTTATTAGTTTTATTGGTTTTCTTCAAGAGAGATAAGAAGATCACATGAATCAAAGGATACAGACTTCAAAAAACATCATTGTATAGCATTGAAAGAAAATACTCTTTAAAGTAAAAAAGGTGTTCTGAATTAGGTGATGCTGTAGCTCAAAAAGAATTAAAGGACATGAGTTCCTAAATATAGAGTATTTAGACTAAGAAGCTTAAACCTGGCTTTTTTTTGGAGGGGAAGTGATAGATATGTTTATCATCTTAATTGTGGGGATAGTTTCACAAGTGTGTACCTATAAAAACTTATCAAATTGTACACTTTAAATACGTGAAGTTTATCATCTGTTAATTACACCTCAAGAGAGTACAAAATAAATAAAATGCATGCTTGGTTAATAAAATACTCAAAATGGGGCATATATGGCAATAAAAACTCAAAATAGAAAGGAAGTCTCCCCTCCCCGGGCTTCATCACTCAGTGATAACCCCGTTTAACTAGACCTATTTTTAATTCTGAGGATTGCCTTCCTAACCATAAGCATGGTTACACCTCTACTTCATGACTTGTCAACCTTAAACAGTAGCTAGTGACCTCCAATTCTAAAAGATGAGAAAATAAGCTTTTTCAAACTTCTACCTCCCTCTACCCAATCTCTGCTGACTGAAATTTTAATTTTTAGTTCTTTTATTGTCTTCCTTCAGCAGCTGCTGCATCACAAAAAAAATACTCATGAAATGATTTTTAGGTGTCAGACACTCTTCTAAGCACTTTGTATATATTAACTCATTTTATTCTCAGAAGAACTTTGTGAGAGAAAAAGTATTATTGGCCCCATTTTTTGATGAGAAAACCCAGGCACAATTCAAGGTGGCAGAGCAAATATTTAAACCCGAGTAGTCTGCTATACTGCCTCAGCGTGGTGTGGCTATAATTAACACACTTCAACTATAGCCCTCGATGTACAGACAATCTCTCTTAACTCCCTCTGGGTTGGTAAAGAAATCAACACCACTACCTCTTTCCTCCTTTCCCCTCTCTACTTCCAAACCTCTGCTCTAGCATGCTATTATTTTCACATTTGCTCTGTCCCTACAATTAATTTACGACATTTTGTCTAGAAAGTGATAGTAACAATTGTAAACTAAAAAGCAACATTCACAAGCAGTGTAATTGGGCCTTACACGTAGGAGATACACCACCATCAATAAGCCTTTGCTACTGGAAGGAGAAACTAACTCAAACATTTGGAAAGGGCTAGGATGATAGTCTGCTTTGACACTCACAGAATTATTTACCTGTTGTAATAAAATCCTCAGTATTCTTGGTCTGAGATGGGGAAAGTCAGTGGAGGCTCACTTGACAGTCTCCCAGTTGACACCCATGTGTTTCTCTCTGGTTTAGTTTACAGCTCTCCTGAAATAAGCCACTTCAGACACACAGAGAGGGGCATTTTTTTCTTGAATCTGATTCTGACCAAAGCCAGAGAGGAAAACAGTGGTTTTAAGTCTGGAGGCCTGGGGCTAGCTCTTACGGGCCGGCTGGGGGGCACTGGGCCTCAGTTTCACATGTACGAAAGGAAAGGAGTCTGGGGAACGACTGCAGGGTCCTGACCAGCTCTAAGACCCCAGGAGTCATTTCTCTAAGCCTCAAGAAGACTTCATAAAACATCTCCCCAATCGAGGCTGAGAGAGGCAAATAGGCAAGGAGGTTAAAAGAATGAGCCCCAGAGTCAAATCCTCCTCCAGCACTCACAGGCCAAGAGCCCTCGGAGGGACGAGCCACACCCCCACATCCACCCAGGGAGTCTTAGTCTCCTCTCTAAATCGGTACTGCTGAGCACACTTCGTCACAGGTTGTCGGGAGGGTTACATCGATAACCTAACTCTACCTGGGGTGGGTGAGTACTCATGAAGCGGGACTTGTTAGACTCAGTGCTAATAGGGAACCTTTTTTAGTTGATGCATCTCAGCCCCTCCAACTTGCACCGCAACTCTCTCGACCTGTCCCACATCCCATCTTCTCAACTCTTACACATGCCAAGAACCTATGAGAAGGTGCAAAAACGTTAATAATGAATCCTCATCTATTTAACACAGCAGACTGCTTGAACATAACTAAAAATTTACCTGCCTCTAAACGGCTTTCACTAACTCAAGAAAAAGCTCTGTGAAATGACCCCGCTTTCTGACACAGAGCTCCTAAAACGCTTGTAAATAGGGTGCTAGAAGCATCTTTTGTTCTAATATTCTTTGACTCCGGTTCCTGACACAGCCCTCCTAAAATCCTTGGAATTTCATGGATGATAGGAGCATCTTTTGTTCTAATGAGGTGACTCTTGATGGGGTCCTGGATGGGGGCTGGTCACAGGAAAGACTAGGCCAGGATCAGAAGCTTGGCACTTTCAGCTCCCCTCCCTCATCCTCCGGGGAGAGGAGAGGAGTCGGAAAATGAGTTAATAATCGATCACGCCTATGTGATGAGGCCTCCTTAAAAATCTCTAAGCTATGGGATTTGGAGAGCTTCTGGGTTGAACACATCCACATGCCGGGAGGGTAGTACACCCCAACCCCACGGGGACAGAAGCTCTTACACTTGGGACCCTCCCAGACCTTGCCCTATGTATCTCTTCATCTGGCTGTTCATCTATGTCCATTATTATATCCTTTAATAAACTGGTAAACGTGTTCCCGAGTCCCACGAGTTGTTCTAGCAAACGATCAAATTCAAGGAGGGGATCATGGGAACCCCCGATTTGTAGCCAAGCCGGGCAGAAGTTGTGGGCAACTTGGGGACCCACTACTTGCGACTGGTATCTGAAGTGAGGGGCAGTCTTGGGGGACTGAGCCCGTAACCCATGGGGTCTGCGCTAACTCTGGTTAGTGTCAGAAATAAATTGTAGGACATTCAGCTGGTGCTGGAGAATTAGCCGGTGTGGGAATAAACCCACACATCTGGCGTCAGAAGTGTTATGCCTTTGGATGAGTGTGTGCAATTCTGGGCTGACTGTGACCTCACTCCTAAGCCAGGCCCTCCAAGCCAGCTTTAATCAACTAATAAAGCTGGTATTGTGGTCTGAATCTACTCAGCTCCCGTCTTAATTCTTCAGAAAGTAACAGCTGACATCCCTAAATCCCCAACAGCGTGAAAGCATTTCAGAAAGTTTTCAAACACAGCCAGTACCAGTAATACAAATACCAACAAGCATTTGTTGAAGGCCCACTACACGTCAGGCACTGTGCTAAATGCTTTAGGTGCGTTATCTCAACCCTCCCAGCCACCAGGGAAGGAGACTACTATCATCCCCAGGTGACAAATGAGGAAGCTGAGGCAGCAGCGGGAAGTACCTTACTCAAGGTCACAGAGCCAGCAATATACCGGCTGGTTTGAGTGCCCATGCTCTTAACCTCAATAAGGCCCCACCTAAACCTGTTGCCCTTCTGCCAAAGGCTCTCATGGCTTCACGCCCAGAATGCCCCGCTCTGCCTCCTCACTCCTCCCACCACACCTTGTTTACTTGTCTATTTTAACACTCACCACAGCCCAACTTGTACTATATTTTCTGGTGTCTCCTTCCCCTACTATGAAGTCCATGCAGCCCAGCCCAGCCCAGGCCCTTGCACGTAACAGGCGCTGACATCACATTTATGGAAGCAGCTCGGTGTTCAGCAATTACAATACACTCCTCTGGTATTCATTTTCACATGTCATAGATATTTTTGTAGAGTAATAGTATACAGTAAATGAGCACTGTATGCATTTCATACATCTGTTGCCCTATTTAATACATTAAACCCCTGCTGTAACCCCCATTAGGCAGATGAGGACAGTGAGTCTCAACAGGTTAAGTAAATTGTTGGGCAGCTAGTCAGTTACAGGGCTGGGACTCAAGACAAAGTGCTCTGACTCCAAATTTTATGATCTTTTTGATGAACCATATGAGACAATTCTAAGTAAAATAATTATCAGGGCTTTTTAAATAAATGAGTT